TGAATATTTGAAACCTGTTCGGCGTACGAGGAGTTTCGTGACTGACTATGTACCCATACTTCGACCCTGCAAACAGTGACGTTCCTCGAACGAAGGACTTGACCAGGTCACGTATGCGAGACGTATGCGCGAGCAGATCTACATAGCCGGGGACCACGCCGTTTCGCAATCGCTTAATGCCGAAATTGCGTTCCAAAAATACATAGTTCCGTCAGCGTTTGTCCCCCTTGTCCCGTGTTACATAGAATTTGTTAACGCGGTCAGCCCGAACACGCGGCTAATCGACTGGCCAAAGATTCATCAGTCGGGATGCATAACGAATAACTGAAGCACCAAGTTATCTTGACTATACGACTATACAATATAGATATTGTTCCGTGTATGTACGTAGAATTTAATGGAGCAAATAAAAATACTATGATTGGCGAGTGAAATGAAACTTGATTACCTTGCAGGCATCCCCGGCGAGGGCCTCAAAGATCACTCGAAATTGTCTTCGACTTATTTAGAATTTTTAATCGAGACTCGTTCTCACGCATAACGACCGACGATCGTGTCTCGTACCGTGTGCGGTAAAAAAAATAAAATAGTATACAACGACGGTAAATAAATGCCCGACGCTGTGAAACAGACACGAGGAGAACCTCCTCCTTCGGTTGTTCAACGAAAACTCATAGTGCACGCTTGAAGCAGCCACCCGCGACCCTTCCTTCCACTCTCCCACTCCTATGGAAGTTTAATCGTGGTGGAGAAACCCCCGTGTAGTTTCTGCCTCGTCTTTAGCAAGCAGGGATCCCGTATTTTTAAAATGAGAAACCGGGACAGTTGGGAGAAAAAATATAATTGGAACACTTGATTATTTAGAACGTGACACGCGGACTGGTCCGTCGCCTTTAAATTCTCTCTGTGTGTCTGTCAATTTCTGTAGACCACCGAACTACCCTTTGTCTTTTCTTAGGCTCGGCGACACTAAGTATTTCTAAAACGAGGCTTACTTAAATCCGAGAAAACCAGGATAGCAGCTTGTACATGCGAGAATGTTATTCGAAATAAAGGCCTCGGGGACCTTGGACGACCGAACTTTCTTAATAAATCTCGACACCCCCAATGCTAGCCTGAAATCTCATACCATGTTTTTTTTAATTACCGTCGTAAATTCATTTAACGAAAGGCTAATTTAAGGGAGAGTATAAATTGGGAAAAGCTGTTCAGCTATTGTGTCAAGCTATAAATAAAAAAAACGATCTCAACTTTCTGGAACGTTGCATCAAGTCAAAGATCATCGAATGGAGCGTGACGATGTAAAAGTGCAAACTAAATACGTAGCTCCACTTTTATCGCAATTTTTTCTTGATACGGTGAAGTTCGTAAAGTTTTTCGGATGACTCACGATCATTACGGCAACGAGACGTCGAGCGCGGAGAAATAAAATACACAAGTAAGTACTTGTGTATATCTACGCAGAAACTACGCTGAGGCCGTGAAATCATACAAGGAGAACCAGTGAAGATAAAATTCTGATTAATAAATGAATGGAAACGAACGTGTTCGTTCTCGCTGAGCGATTTAGTGAAATGTGAATGAATATGGAATCGTATAAGAGAAACCACGGCTTCGGTGGTTGTATTAAAATTTTCTGGTTCGCGTTGCGTGTGAATATAGGATTTCACGAGGCGACGCGTGCAAACATAGAGAAAGTTCACCACCGTAGGATAATGCATTAGATCGCCGGATTCCGGTTTATTCGCTTAATTATACGCGTACGTGCTTTCACGTATTTACGATATACATATACGGATGAGCAAGTGATTTGTCCCCGGGGATATCCAATTTCGTATCGACTCGATTACTTATACAATTACCGCTAATTAAGAGACTCGTTTCACAGGCAACAACAGTAAATATACACGTACGTATGTACGGCGTCTTACTGCGTGAGACGATTAACCGACGGGTAGAGAAAGACTTGTACACGTACGAGGATCTTGGGCGCATCGTGTACGTCGTGTGTAACGTGGCAAATTAGATTGGACGGAATAAAAGCTGGGATGGCAGCGAAGCGTTACAAATGGCACGTTTCTTCCGATCTGCATTGGCGGATTGCCTGCTAATTATTAACCGAGAGATTCTCTCAACTATGTGCGCGCCGGGCCGTTGACCCGTTCGTTCGCGATTGTCGCGACGGTGAAAACTATATGGAGTTTATCGGACACGGACGGTCTCGGTAAGATCGATCGAACAATGTGTGTACACATATATATGTACAGTAAGAGGAAAAAGTGTACTCACTTGGTAAAAACAAGGCTATATTGTCCACATACCTACTACCAACTACGGACGCTTAGTTAACGATAAACACGAACGTAGGACACAAAATTTTAATACAGAGTCTATTAAAACGTTTCGTGACAGATCTGGTCAAAATTCCAATTGCTGCGCCGATCAGAAAACGTAGACGACGTTCTGACATTGTTATTTTTACTTCTAAACCCATACTAAATATATTGAGGGCGTCTCGGGAAATTTATTAATACAACCGGGTATTTCAGTGAGCCGTCCGTCAACCTTGCTTCGCTTATTTGCTATATTCGGTTATTTTTAACTTTCGTTACGGCACCCTCCAAGTCATATACATACGACCCATCACCGGTTTTCGTTGATGAAGAACGTACGATCGACTGAAACAATTTACGTGAGAAGAAATTAGTTCTTTCCACGACGCTGTTTCGAGTTGGAACACCTCGAACAGTGATGACTGTAAGAGGCTATCAATGCTCAACGAACTGTCACGCAAAACAACATTCGACACCGGTCGCTATATCGAGTTCAACCGAAACAGAAATTCAATAGTAAAAAACATAGTAGAAGTAAAAGAGCAGGACGTACTATATATTACACTTATCGGAGACCCAAATAAGACTAAAACGTGAGCACGAGAGCACATATAATGGCATGTAAGCCGTTTCAAGTAAACACGAATATATACAGAATTTGTATTTGTAATTCCTTTCCACTATAATTATTTTTCTAGTTCTTGCCAACTCTTGTTTCATGCCTCACGCTATGCGACAGAGGTTGAATATCGTGACTAAATGGTTTAATTAAATTACCTATTACAAATCAGCAATAAAGCAAAGATAAAGGATACACAGAACATCTAATTCGTTGTATTGCTAGCTTTCATATCTGTATATTTTACGTACACGGATATCGTTGTTTTAAAATAACGGTAGGACTTTGTCTAAAAGTACTTACAGCGTAAAGGCTGGAGATTTTTCAAGTCACCGACCCGTGGTGCTACGCCGGAATCATCCTCTGTCCTGGGCACCGATAGAAAGTACTGTTCTTCCTTTCACACGCGTTACACATTACGAACTTCACATGACGAACACACAAACTGTTCGAACGCGATCTTCTCCTGCGCGAGATGAAAAATGTTAAAGATAAAAATAACACCGATACGAGAAGGAGAGAGAGACAACAGAACGAGACCTGGCTCCCACCGTTGTCGTTCGAAAACTCATGGTGCGAGCTTGACTTGATGCGATCGTGTGCTCGTTGCCCCCACTCCGATGAAGTTTAATCGTGGTGGAGAAACCCTTCGTGTTGTTCGTATTTCGAGCCTGATATTCTTCGTGTACACACGAATACATGTCGTGCCTCATGTATTCGATACACCTCCGTTCAAAAGCTGAGCACACGCGAGACCTGAAAGAGAAATGTACTTACTATAGACACATTAGAAGGAACTTCACGACGATTACTGCCGTGCTAGCCTGGAGATTATATGATATGATATAGATATATGCACAGTATTGCATTACATAGTAAACATGCGATGCAACTGCACTGGTTATACATTTTTTCAGTCTCTGTGGAACCTCTCACGATTGTCTCAATGTATGTTACGATGCGATAAATATGATATTTCACGCAAATATATTACGCAAATCGTGTATTTAAAGATAAAATTACTTTTTATCCCGTGGTCTATTGCACAAAATGATTTTCGGGGTAGCGTGTAATTTCGCGTGTCCCTTCGCGCTTGGTTTCCTTTCGCAATGAAAAGGATCTTTATATTGCCTCTCCCTTTCTATTTCGGGCCACCCTCCTTGCCCTTTGATACACGTGACTCGTTCCTCGACACACCTTCGTGAATAAGTAACGTGACAGACAAGGAAACTCTATTAGAATAGAAGGCGGGACTTCAGGGCGCCTCACGCAAACACTATCTGTATGCATCATACAAGACGTATATGCATTATATACGTACATGCTTTCTTACAGTATTAAAGTCGGTACTATGAAGGACGGACACAAAAATTGTAAATGTTTCTACATCACGATTACTATCCAGCTTTAATTATCGGAATACGATAAGAATGTGCATCAAATAATGAAGTGATCTATGCAATTTCCCATTGTACGCCTTATACACTTTGTACCAATGTAATTATGACATTCATTATTATTTTTCAATCGTCACTCGCTTACTCCGACGAAAAGCTCTAAACCGACTTCCTGCTTCTGGGGTTATGCGACACACGTACAGAGGAAGCTGCTTAATATTCGCCTAACTCGTTCATATTTATTAAAGCGATGAAAAAACGTGACGATACTTATGTATTCGCACTCTATCATATTAAACGCCTGTGCATCCTTTCGATATCAATAGACTGATAGAGATTGAATACGATTTAGAAGAAATGAAGGGCCAGGGTGTGTTTACTCTTTAGGATAATTACTGCACGTCTTTTTCTATTTAGCTATGTATAAGCCTTTCGTACAGTTAACTCTTCATCCAATGTTAGAAATAAACGGTAAATACCTTAAACGCAGTCCTTTTCCCAATTTTCATTCACTCTAAAGTATTTGAAGGGCACGATTGGAATCTTTTTAAAAGCAGACGTGTTCGCAGACGATTCCGCACTCGCGGCGCTTCCATCGTGACCAGCGGCACCACCAGCGCGAGCTGCGCAAGTAATATCCTGCCACGTTAAAATAGCTTGTTTGGTTAAAGCATTGGCCGGGGTCTTGATCAATTAATTAAAATAGTACGTTTTATAATTTCCACCGAGAATTTCACCTCACGCACAATAGTGAATGGTATTCAGAGGATAAAGACCTGACGAACGATGGACTACTGGGCGATTTGTTTGCTGTTCGTCTCGTTGTTCGGCACGATATTACGTACTGGAGGTGTCGAGCTAACCTTCGAGCTGCCCGACAACGCGAAACAATGTTTCTTTCAGGAAATCGAAAAGAACTCGACCGCGCTGCTCGAATTTCAGGTAAACGAGTCATTCAGCAAGACCATTTTCCGTATAACGCGTTCTTACAAGACTCAAGCTTCCTACATTTCAATATCTTGCTACGTAATAGCATTCGCCACGTTTGTAATTTTTATCTATAACAATTGTCGGTAAAGGGGAATTTATGATTTCTCCTTGTTAAAGAATGTCTTTGACAATATTCAATGTTCACGAAATTTAATCCACGTATCCCTTTGCTCATATCTCATTTTAATGGTGAGAACGTTCTTTCAGGTCGTGACAGGCGGCCAATACGATGTGGATGTAACTTTAGAAGCTCCAAATAAAGAAATCATTTACAAACAGATAAAAACTCAGTTCGATTCGCATCAGTTTACGGCATCTATGACAGGACCGTACAAGGCTTGTTTTAGTAACGAATTTTCTACGTTTTCACATAAAATAGTCTACATGGAGTTCAGAGTGGGCGATCAAACGCTCGTCGGACTTGGAGAACATGTCACTGTCATGACTCAGGTAACAAGATGAATCTACGTATTTATATATGACATGGTGGAGATAAAAGAACACGTCTCATAAGGAATTCTCTCCTCAGATGGAATCTTCTGCCCAAGAGATATTCAAGAACTTGAACAGCATTTTAGACTATCAAACGCATCATCGATTACGAGAAGCGCAAGGCCGTAAACGAGCAGAAGAATTGAATTCATGCGTTCTCATATGGTCAGTGTTGGAGACGCTCGCGATCTTGATCACATCCGTGGGTCAGGTGTACATTTTGAGGACCCTTTTCACAGAGAGGAAGCCTTAACGCTGATCAATTAGGTGTATTATCTGCGAACGACAATGTGGTTTGCAACGAAACTCGTTCCGACTGGTTGACGTGAAACAATCTCATACTTTGAACGTTTCGCCAACTTTTGCCGATCAACGGTGCCATGCCAACTTTGGCCAGTCGTTTGTTACATCCACAGTTACACGTTTGGACGAGCAACAGAAATACAGCTGGAATGATCTAAGCAAAAGTTCTCCCCGAACGTGGAAACGTTGTGCATGAACATTGATGTGTGTTATTATATGAATTCTAAGTTACATGGAAACTAGGACATTCAAATATGGGTACCTGCTCTTATCAAATAGAGCCGCGGGATGTGCGTCTTGGACTTGTTGAAATTTAATAACTCATGAGTCTTGATTATACTTTAGCACTGGCAGTGCGATAGACACTAAAAACACGTTTTTCTTACTATTAATGTGTAACAGTAAATTAAAATATTTGCCCCTACCATCGCCTTCTTTTACTATCCCTACCTCTATAGTACTGAATGTATCAGAATACAATACTTTATCAATTTGATACCTTCTTTTAATATCCCATATTGAGAGAACGGCAAAAATTATTTCCGACTTGCAAATGAAATTACGATCAGACTACGTGGCATGTTGCGATGCACGCATGGCAATTTTATGTTTACCAATGGATTTAAATACCGTTTCTATGGAAAGTTTTAATTTCGACAGCCGGTAGATCAATCGAACCGTTACATTCACTGCGCACGGTTTTCGAGTGACACAGGCAACAACAAGCAACAGCTGTTTAACCTGGCTGAGAATAGACTTCAACGAGTTTTGACCAACCGCTACGATTCTCTGATATGGAGGTAAATTTTGGAATGAATACTTATATTTTTAAAATATCGAGTGTTCATTTTTGTTATTTGCGTCAAATAACAAATTACGTATCGTACCACACGAGAATCGAAAAGCATGACTTATACTTTTATCCAGGAACAGGATATTCCTATCGATATTAATACTGGGAAATTACTGGAATGGTTGATCAACAGGCGACATTGCAATAAAGACTGGCACGTGAAAATTTTAACTATCAGAGAAAAGATCAATAATGCGATACAGGATATGCCTGTTCACGAAAGCATCGCAAAATTATTATCTGGCTCATGTAAGCTAAACTGATGTCTTGCATGTAATTACATTTATAATTCAAATGTCTCCTTATTTCAGATATAAATTACTTCCATTGTTTGAAAATAGTAGAGATATTAAAAGAGACCGAAGCTGATACAAAAAATGTATTCGGCAGATATGGATCTCAAAGGATGAAAGATTGGCTAGATATCGTACACTTGTACGAAAGAGATAATGTGTATCTCGCAGAAGTTGCTCAGATGCTTATAAGAAATGTTAACTATGAAATTCCCAGTACTAAAAAGCAAATTCAAAAGTTGGAACAATCACAGACTGTGAGTAAAACGATAAACGCTATGTTTTTCCAAGTATGCTAACGACGCAATGTCTTTCAACAGGACTTGGAAAAGAAAGAAGCCGATTACAAGAAATCAGAAAATTCAGCAAGATCCGAGTTCAATTCGGTCTGTAAACAGCTAGGCATTCCTGGAGAACATATCAAACAGGAATTGGCTGACAAAGTGAAAGAACTTCCCGAAATTTACAATAAGATTGCAAAAAAGACGAAATCGTTAGACAGTGCCGTAGAATTTTACTGTTCCTTCGTTAATTACACTCTTGGCAGACAGCACGATGGTGGTTGCGTTCCCATGGTAAAATATGTGATCGGTAGGTATCGAATAATTTAAAAAATGCATTTACAATATTCTTACGTATGTTACGACACTGGACATTACGGATTATGAATTACTCAGATAAAGGGAACACTACCACGTATGAATGGATCTATGGAGAGGCTCCGCTATCGATCAGCGAGCCAGTTTCGAGCATAGACTTAGAGAACGATTCGGAGAAAAAGAAAGTTGGAGACGTCGACAACGCTGTATGTAAACGATCATAAAATGTTATAAATACCTTTGAAGATCTTCGAACACTTTCATGACTGGTCCAGGGTATCAATTTTGGAGACATCGACATAAACGATGGCATAGATTTTGGCGGCGATCTTAACTTAGAAGCAGGTGGTGAAATTGACTGGGGAGACAGGAATGCGGAAGAGGCTGTACCCGGAGATATTGATTACAATATCTCTTTGGAGGAATCCGGCATTGTCGTAGAAGCAGCCGGCCACGAGGGTGGAATTGCTACTGGGACAGAAGCATATACGGTTCTTGATAATCCAAGAACTAGGAATGATTTTATTAATCAACTATTTGAGGTATGTATTTTTAGTACCTTTCTCTCTATGATATCTACTTCTTAAACCGAACTATCTTTTTTTTCGTAGTTAGAAGCGTTCCTTAAATTACGTTTGTACGAATTTAAAGGGGACGACGGTGTAAATTTTCTGAGCTTCAGTCAGTTACAAGATTCGTCTTCTGCTTTACAACGTTCGACGCTAGAAAGTACTCAAAATATGTTAGATAACGTTCAAGTTCTCATATCCGAGGTCTTAGATACTAAGGTTCAGCATTTGCATAACATCAAACACTCCGCGAGGTAGGTTTCGAACGAGAACAAGATTACAACGAACGATGATCGTACTTACATATTACTCTAAGCAAACCGATCACATTTGTAGATACGTGGATGTTTTAACCTCGACGTTGAAACAAAAATTGAGTTTGGTCGAGAAGATGATAGGTCTACAAAAGTGTACGAGAGAGAAAAGAGAGAAGGCCGCGGAGGAAGCTAACGCTGTACGACCACTTCTTCAACTTCTTATACAGAGAACGAAAGAACTGCAAACTGAGGTACTTGTAATAATTTCTGATAATGAGCGTTATCCATCGACGCGCACTCATCTCCTTTCTATATTTGCAGATCGAGAAAGATATTTCGAAGAAGTACAAGAATAGAGTTGTACATTTAACTGGCGGTGTAAATGTTTTGTGATTGATTGAAATGAACGTGTAAAAGAAAGAAGATTTTACGCAAATGAGAACTAATAGTATTGTATATATATGTAAAAAAATACATTTTTTTTTGCATTAAAATTTATACTATCTATTGCTGTAACAAAATAATGAAAACGAAATAAAAAATATTTTATTACAATCAACCTGTATTACGCATTACTTTTTTAATGTGCAACGTCATAGAAAAATTTGTACCTTTTATTCTCATAAGTCTAACGGTATCATCGAAGGGTACATCTTCATTATCTTTGGCATATTAACTCACCATTACTAAACCGTGAATTCTTCCGATTTCATTACCCTTCACATGATCATAAAAAGATTTTGTACTAATCTCCAAGGAGACGAAGTGCAGACAGCTTTAGTCTTTGGGCAAGGGTAATGTCTCAAACACTCCGCGAACGAACGATCGCATTCGCATAATCGCTGAGCGCAAGACCCAGATCCGCCCCAGTCTCCATGCTCGACGGCTGTAATAAATAAAATTGAACATTCGCATCTTCCTTTTATCTATTTCTCAATTGGCAATTGACGACATAACGGATTTTAATGAACTTACCGCAGACTGGTTTGTAACCGTGATAACACCTCCAGTAATACGGTACGAAGTACTCGGAGAGCGTCGGGCATTCCGTGGCATCGTAGCACCAATCATGCATTTTGCAACACCTGCAGAAAGTCATTTATATGAAAGTTGAGACGCGCTACTTTTCGAAACGCATATAATAGACAGCATGTGAGACGTTTGGTCTGAATTCTCGAGATTCACCTGTCTATTCCATCTATTACGTATCCCGAGCCTAAGAAGCCGCAGTAGCACCCGTATCCTTTATAAGCCAGAGGATTACATCCGGTAGAGCACACTATCATATTGTATAAATGTATCACACCTCTTTTGAACCTTTTGTGCACGAACTCTTGCATCCTAAGACAATATACCCAAGGGAATGAGGAACATCGCAATTTTATTCGAACGACAGAAAGAACCGATCTAATATAGTAGTGTTAAACTCACAACGGTTGGTCGTCGCTTGTGTGATCATATGTAAAATTAGTAGATAAAGATTTGCGTGTATTTTTCTTTCGCTGTTGAACAGACTCTGAATTCGACAATGCATCGTTATTATTCCGATCTATGCGAACACTTTCTTTTTCCCAATCATCATCTACATAATTGGACAAAGGTTTACCTTTGTGTACCTTATACGCTTCTCTATTCTTAATTAACTTCTGAACACTGGAGTCAATCCTGCCTACAAGAATCATTTCAATCGTTAGACAACTATGCGTCTCAAGTTTCGAAACTATCGACTATTTCACGACGTATTTGCATATTTTAATAATTTCATAACATTAGCCGGGATATAATGTTCGCGTTTAGAGCTCGAACGCAGTGAGCGTGAAAAACAGAAACGGTAAAAAGAACGGGATCAAAAGTGAATTTTCAAGTTAGATTAACAAGTGGATCGAGGAAACGGCTTGCTTCCATTAGAAAATCGCGATGAACAATACTGTGACATAGGAAACAGACAGAGTCCAAGATTGTTTCCCTAATTTCGACATACCGATTCGCTTATAGTTATTGAACACTGTATTACGCACCACGACTCTCGTAACAGGGCAACATTACGAGTATCACGAGCAACAGACAAACGAAGATCCTTCCACGATACGGAATCACCTGCAGTCGATCGAAGTCATTAGGGGTCGGCGGGCAGTCAATCGTTTCACGACTCATCGAGTACGTTTTTACGAATACAAAGAGAAGTGTTCCAATGTCAGCTGCGGAGCTTTCCGAATTTATCCAACATATTACGTTTCACAGGTTCCGACAAACTGGGATCGCAGAGTCTTGCGTGTAAACACATTATGCGTTGCACATTGTCCAGCCGTGCGTGAATTCAGACATGAAACATCGAATGCGACGTTGAAAAGTGTATGCAAGTATCCTTTCCACGGAACACTGCTTCAAAATACGAGCAAATTATTCGTGAACCGTCGCGTCGCTCTGCAGAGAGCCCCAAGTCCTTGCTGCCTCGACCGCGGGAGAACAAATCGAGTGCTGCCCGGTCTTATTAGACACTTTTGGTCCATCGGTTCCCTCTACTAGAAAGAAAATCTACTCCTTCCATGGTAGACAGACGACGAGCCCGTGATTCAGTATTCTGTTGAACCCCGTGACCCCGGAGAGTCGGTGCGTTTGAGCTGACCGCGAAGCACTTAGAGAACGGTACGATCCTCTTCATCCGGGGAAGATGCACGCAGTGGTTTTGACCGCGCACCGAGAAACCTACTGTTACACTTTCGACGGCTTCCTTCAAGCGGAAAGGCTGGGACGCGTTCACCTTTTATTTCATCTCTTCCTATCATCGTCCGTTCGATGGCTTATCTTTATGCCGCGACTCCTTGTGGTCACTTCATTTTTGCTTTTGTCAAAACGAAATTTCATCTCAGATACGATCTGATTCTTGAGTAACTCGAATCTTTCCCACGGTAATCAAGCGCAAAGGGCAAGACACGATCTCTTCAAGTTTCTCAGCTTCAAACGTTGAACGATTTTAAACGAAGAGAGATATAATTTTCAGCTGCAGCTGGTACCAAGTATCGAGAGCAGAAAATTCACCGATTGACCGACTGCCCGAAGTAGTTTACTACTATATACGATATTTACAGTGAACAGGTCTGGTACGTGAATCTAGCGGTACTTGCTGCGTATAATAGATGTCTAATATAACCGAGATACCTGGAAGTTTCAACCAGCAGAATCATACAATTATAACACAAGCTGTACTTTGAACATTTTAGTAAAAGCCAGTATAGTAAATGCAATTCCTTTGAGAGAAATCTCGTAATTATGATGTTACTGTAACAATGCTGCTTTACTGTCGATCGTTAGAACGTTTTACATTTTTTCCTCCGTTTCTTCGTTCACGATCAATGTCCGTAAGCGACCAGAGCACGAACAATTACCGTGAAATCCTCGTTTCCGCGCAACAATGCCTCCGAGTAGGTTTTCAGATATCCGATCCTCTCACGAAACGAAGAAAAACAGTCGAGCGACACGAGATTCGTCCGGCCTGCGGAGCAGGGTGCCGCCGTGCCGGGAAATCGCAAGATTGTACTCGCTCGTAAACCGATAACGAGCAAACAGAACAATGGCCTGTTGCAGAATGAACGCTGGCGAACAGTTTCACCCGCGTTAAGTATCCCTGTTCGCAGATACACTGCTTCCTGCGTTACAACATGATGAACCCGCGAAACCAGTCCCGCGACCGTTTGAGCGTAACATTCTCGATTCCAATGAAATTACTCAAAAGGATACAATGCACGCGACGCAAGTTGTAAAATTCGCGAAACCGGGCAAGACTAACGATCCCTTTGAGATTGTAGTTAAAACTGTATCTATGTTCCTTTCTCCAATGGTTTCTGTTGCGATTCCTCCAACTCCAAACAAGTATCTGTCTCCGTGCGTCAGAGAGGAACGGCGCGAAAATCGTGAGAAAGTGCTCTTTGAAGAATGCGCATCAAACAGCAAAAACACAGGGCTATTAGTTTCGCACGCAGTCTGCCTATTTATATGTTGCACAATCTAAAAAAGGCTTGTCGTTTATCAAGCAACAAAGCGAACTACTCTGTCATCGACGATAAATGGACTCGTCTGTTTCGACACTCGCGAAATTACACGTTTAATAGAAATTTGGTAATGCTATGAGAAATTGCTGCCTCTTGAAATTTTCACTTCTGGCATTTTACAGTATCATGTTCCAAAACCAGTCATCGTGAAAATTATTAAGCATTAGTTGGAAATTTATCGAATATCGTTGAAATTTATCCAGATTGCAAGCCATTTCCTCCGAAAGAATTTTAACTATAGACTAAGTATGCAAATTAGATTGTATTTAGCACTTTAAAAAGTAGACCGGCTGTGAAACCGAGTGTATCGTAACGTAATTTCGCTCAGAAGTATCAAGGCTCGTTTTACCCTAAATTCAAGGTGTAATAAGTCGGAAGATTTGACCGCCTTGCGTTATCGTTGAATCAATTGTATGCTTTCACCTAAATATAAAAGAGTGAAACGTTTCGGCTCGGCTAGTCTCGAAAAATGAGTACTCTCATTTCTCTAATTTAATTTTAGTATGTTCGATAAACGAACAGATGATGAAATATTATACTTACGAACATTTTATTGCCAGTACTTCACCAATTGTCGAAGATCCATCAGATCGATCCACGCTCCGTCAGTTGTCCTGGCCTGGCACTCTATGTAGCCGCCATGGGTAGCCGGCGTTGCCTAGCAACCGTGTCCTGTCAGACGGGCTCGCTAAGCTCGCTTAGGAGCGTAGACGAGACCTCTCTCGGTTTTACGATTCTTTGCTCGTTGTTAGAATAAAATGTGTTATCGCACGGGAATCGAGAGTCGGAACCGTTTATATCCATGGCGATATTCTAGTCGTTATGGAGGAACAGTGAGGAAGAAATTCCTAAAATCTTGTAAATGAAATCTGAGCTTCAGTATTCCTTGACACACGGCGCTGTGATCGAAATTCCACAAATCTTACGACAATGCATGATGAATAAACAACTTCCAAAAGATCTATGTAATCAAAATAAATGCAACATTGAAGAAAACCCCTTCGAGAGTTGAATGCCCGATCGTTCTCTTTTTGAAATTACCTGAATATTGTATTCCCAAAATTATTTACCTACCACCATTATCAATAATACGATTTATAATAATAAACGAGACAAATGATACAGATGAACAGAGATAGGAGTGTTGTTCCTTGTTGTTCCAAAACAAGAATTGACATCGCAAAGTTATTGATCGTACATAAATGTAAAGTGACGGTTAAAAACTGCACCTGATTGATGAAAAATAACGAGAGTTTTCAAGTAAATGTGCACATTAGTTTTCCCTGATATTATAACCCACGAGCATTTCGACGATTCGTTGTTTTGGAACGGAGAGTCACAGGCTTTGAGACAGTTTTAAAACGTACAATCTGGTACGCTTATGATAAAACTTAACGTAACACGTAACAGAAGATGTTATGATCATTTCAAGCGAAATAACGTGAAGTTATACGTTTTGTAGAATCATTATGACGCGTAGATGCGTGATGTGCAAAAAAACTAATCACAAAAACGTTTATAGCTTTTTCTCGGCACCAAAGGATAAAGAAACGCGTAAGAAATGGCAAATTGCCATTGGTATAAAAAATTACACTGTCAACGATGAGACATTTGTCTGCAGTAAACATTTTAATAAAGATGATATCATTACCCATTGGGTTAGTGGAGTGCCACCCCATGTTGTTACTGTAAGTGATTGGAATTTTACATTTCAATATAATAAAAAAGATAATTTCTTTTAATTTCATCATTTGTCAGGTGAAATATAAAAAATGCAGATTAAAGCCAGGAGCTGTGCCTGGGAGGAAATATAATTTTGAGGAAAATGTACAAGCCGGCCGTATCAGTTTTACACCAAAATATGACACACGAAAAACGAGAGAAAGTAAAACAGATTTTCTCATACCGAGAACGGAAGAAAATTCGGAAATTGACGGGCCGCTGTTTGCACACGATGCTAATGTTCACAGTTATCAGAAGAGAAATACATTGAACGAAATAAAATTAGAAAATGGCAAGAGTCTGAACAATGGATCGGAAGAATCGCAGTTGAAGCAGGAAGATGTGAATTTTGTAAAGACAGAGGAACAAAACGAAATGAGCAATGAGAATCTGTATTCCAGAAGAGTTTCAGAATGTTCTTCTAGAGATTATTCGGATAACGAGGATAGGGACCATAGATCTATGACGAAAGAAAATACTCCCGCAAAAGAAACATCAACTGAACGTAGTTTTGAATCAGTAGAAACGACACGTACAAAGAATCAGACAAAAGACAATTATGATCGATCGAACGAAGAAGATGATTCTACGTACAACGAAGATGATGCCAATGAAATGTTGTTCGAAGATTTACTTGAAGTATGTGCAGAAATTTCATTACCGCGTGGTTGGTCCTGTTTAATAGCTTCGAAAGGTCTCTCGACGACGATAGTGTATTTGTACATGGGATTGACGACCATTGGTACACCCTTTACGGAGAAACAAGTGTTTATAAAGAGGGACATGATACTACATTGCACTGCTGTAAATAGAGAAATCAATCCAGTAATTCATAATCTAATAAAGCAAGGGAAACATTTGAAAGTACAAAATTTAACGGACATAGAAGAGTTGATAAGTGAGTTCCATCAAAGAGTCATCTGTTCAGGTATCTCCCTTTTTATTATCCGTTTTGATATTTTTTGGGCAAACGATAAATTTTCTAGCGATAAATCCTCCTTTAATAAAAACTCCCGAATCAGGTGTAAGCAACATTGAGGGAACCCGAGACATCAATCGTATTAAAATCGCTTACAAAGATGGTATAAAATGGAGACACGTTTTATGCCCGTTGATACTCAACAACGACTCGACGAGATGTACAAAATGCATTTGCCTCTCTCGTAAACTGATTCGTTCTGCCAACACTCCTACGAAACAATGGCAGAAAAAGAAACGCGTGAGGAAACAAGATCAGGAATGTGATTTGATAAAAGTATACAAGCGTAATTGTAAATGTAAATAAAATTTGGGACAGTAGCTGTAATTGTATCGCTTAATTCATTTGCTCGTAAAGACGAAATTAAAAAAAAGATGTTTTTAATTCAAATAATATGGGTATTGTCAAATCGTCTTGCAAACAGAGATATACAAATATGAATATTCTCCTTCATTCTATAAGTCCCGTTTAATTCCAGGCAATTAATTAACACTGAATAGATCTTTCACGAACGGAATTTAGATCGACCTCCGACTCTATCGTGCTTTGTTTTCCCTTTGCTAGTCTCCTGAAACGATTGCTATTACAATATTTTAAATACTTTTAATTTATTTTAAGCAATTTTTGATTTACCTTTGCCCATTCCGTTCTCAATTGATCTAGCATCTTTTTCGTTAAAAGCCCTCTCGAAACCAATGAATGACTCAACGTTTCCTTGTCCTGGTTTTTACCTGTAAAATACATTACAAATACTTGTAGCAAAGTGTACAAGATCATCGAAATCCAACAAATTACCTTCGAGCTTGTCATCGGATTTTTGACTTTCTTCTTTTGAATCACCTATTTAATTTTAATTAATTAAAATATTAATCTCTTTTCAATCTAGCAAGCGACAAATAACAATTTCTAGTCACTACGAACGTACCCGATTGAGTTTTCCTAAATAATTTCGCAAGCTTTCTGATTCCTGTCTCGATGATTTTGTCTAATTCGAATTGCAATTGCCTAATTGAACTTCCGTCAGGAAACAAATCAGGCATTCGATAACTAGATGAAACGCAAATGGTATTATAAATTAGTGAGTTTCATAAACCGGCACGCAGCCAATATAATACCTAATTACCTTAACCAAAGGTAAACGTCCAGTACATCAAATACACCTTCCAAGCGCACGAGGTCGGCGAGACTCGACGGCGTACTTGGAGGCCATTCAATTTGTTGCCGTACCCACGAGATGGTCGCTGGTTGATTTCTACTACATTGTCGAGCGTACTGCGTAGAAAATGCAAAGGACACGTAGGAAAACGATGTTTCACTCAAAGCCGCGAATAATGAATAAATACTAACTTCGTACTACGTACCTTCAAAAGCATACTACACGTAAAAGGAACTTTTCGGTTGACCGGCGCACAGCAAAACACGTATCGCGTGCGGAGAGGTAAAGGTATGTGTTGTATCATGTCAGCGAGAAATTTAAAATCGTCTAAATTACAAATAAAATACAAGGTATGATCGAGTTCACAGAGCGCGATGAAAATATTCTGAAATAAAAGGAACATGTCAGAATCAGACAATGGCTCAGACAATGATCATTGGGAAAGAGAAAGTTCGACATTACGATGAGATTTGACATTGGCGCATTTGGAAGGTAATAAGAATATAATTCTATTTGATCCGCAGTGGGATGAAGTCCAGCACGATGAATTTCTTCGGGTTTTTGTTGTAATAATTTTCTCAACACTGGAAGATCCTCAGGCTTAAAGGTTGTTACGTATCCCTACAATGTAATATGCAAACAGTGCGTACGCATTATTCAATTTTCTTTTACTCCGTTGCAATCACTACTTACTTTCGACCACTGCGTTCCATAACGACCAGCGCGGCCTGCTATCTGCAAGGCGGACGATACGGAGATCGTATCAATCTCCATTTCTCCCTTCTCGTTTATAACTGGTTGAGAGAGAGTATAAAATATAATTCTACGTATATGTCTGTAAGAATATTTGACAATTACATCTATTATGCTATACGAGATACGCAGTGAACGTTGTGCAGTACTCACAAGTTAAGGCCCATGCCTATGGCATTAGTAGCTACTAATATTTTACAAGGATCCTTGGGATCGTTGAATCTCGCTGCCTGCGCCAGTTTTGTGCCTGGTGGTAAACTACCATATATTACAGCCACCTTCTCCCCTAGCTTTTCGATTTCGTTCGACACTGCGAATATTTCGTTTCTACTAAAACAAACTATACAGTCTCCTGGTTGAACGTTTTTAATGTAACAAAGCGCCGAGTTTTCTACTTCAAGCTCGGTCAATCGTTTGTACTCTTTTATTTCCACGTGTTCACCCGTCGTCAAACATATAGATTGTACCTGCACGAAGAGATCACAGTGTTCGTATGAATTAGTATCGTAAAATGTATTGTAAATTATAAAACGCACGATGGGTATAGCGGCGGATTCACCACATAAATGTATCTCGTCCGCGGCAATGCCAAGGAGAGCTCTTGTCCATGCCCATCCTCTGCCTGGATCGCGTATTAATTGAATTTCATCTATTACAGCTACTTCATCTGTGGCATTAATTAAAAACTAACTAAAACTTGATAATATAATTATCGGCTAATGAGAGATGCCAGCACAAACAGATCAAATTTACTTACAAACATTCTGTATATTCGCCATTTCCACGGAACACGACGTGTGATCTGCGGGAGACGTCATATGCTTGGCATACCTGTGTTCCTCTCCTGTTATCAAATCACAAGGTGTACCCTACGATTGTTCGAGTTTAACATAATGAAACCAGTTGTGCGAGAACATAATTTCTACTACTAACCATAGAATTACACTTATTAAAAACTTCATTGGCTAACAGCTTTAGTGGTCCACAATAAACTCCACTCTTTGCCGACATAAACCTTTTGAGAGCGTGGTAAGTCTTACCACTATTCGTAGGTCCAGCATGAAATATAATCTTCCTTTTCTTAGACCTTGCTATAGGATACCTGAATACGATTTCAACCAATTGAAAATTTATTCCAGTTCTAATGATTTACATTAACTAATAATTTAAATTACCAAAATGGTGGATTCCTTAAGTCACTGATCTTCCTCAGTTCGTCCAAACAATCAATGTGTGGATACATCTGTTTGGCGTAACGCAGGAAGTAGGGGAATATATCTGTAACATTCCCAGCTCCATTTATAATATCGCTTAAGACAATATGTAGATCTGGAGGTAATGAATTTGAATCCACGCAATACTTTCGGAAGTTCCCCATTGCTGTGTTAAAAATGGCATCTGGAAAGACAAGGTTGATAAGATAGTTAAGAAAGTGAAACACTGAGATACCAGCACTTTAGCACGATATGCATGTAACAGAAATTACCATCTAATCCATGTTTTGTACTTAGTTCTTTCACAGTATTTTTGTTCGCGAAATTGCACAAGATTTGTATGATAACACGTTTACTCAGAGAACCAGTCAGTTCGACACCAACATTCCTGTCGTTTGTCTCTACTTTCACAGTAACTGGTTTAAATAACGAACTTATCGATGGATCATTTTTAGTTTGTTTCCTTCTTACGCTCGGTGTAAGTTTCACTCTAGGATTAAATTGCCTGAAACATTGCATTCATGATGTAAGTTATTATAACCGCTTCTGAAACTGACATGTCTCAAGTAACGAAACCATGATCACCTTAAAATCGACGACACCATTAAGTTACTTCGTCGCTTCAATTGATCGTTAACAAGGTACATAACTGGTATCATTTTTTAAATGAATTTTATGTATTTTCATATTCTATAATTTGTAACATGGGGAAACCGAAACCTCGTGTACCACAAGAAAAGATTAAAATAGATAGCGACACTGGCGTCGACGAGGTAGGACAGAAGGATCAACAAGGATGAATTCATACCGAAAACAGCACGGAATGCTTGCTTATATTTTATCAATTCGGTTTATTAATAGTGATAAATTACATATTATTTATCTTCGGAAAGGTCTATATCGGAATTCGTTTACGCAACTGCTATAAGAAGAATGCATTCTTAACACACGGACCATCGATAGAATAGGTAATTCTTTGACTTTTAAAATCACTGGCTGTACCAGTTCGACTAAAATTCAAATTCGTTTTTATATAAACTCTAAAAAACGAGTACTCTATGTACTCATTTTATGTAATCGTGAGTAATTCCAAGCACGATCAAAGGATTCAACTTTCTGTAATTTTATTTCTAATCGAACATGTTTAATCAAATAAATGAGTTTCACGTCGAGCAGCTTAATTTTAACAAGGTATGTATTAGGAATGTTCGATTTCTTTATTAGTGAAGTTTTGTGTGCGATACGATGCTGCGTGTTACTTAGTGTTACTTTATCAGCATCTCTGCTATTGTTTTCTGTGCAAGTTAAATTAGAAGTTCTTATCAGTTCCTGAATATACATAAAAATTGTATTTAGTACGCGACAGTTACACTATTGTGCGCACAGTGCACACGTATACAATGGGCCCTTTCTTTTATTCTCTGTGTATATAGCGTGCAATTCAATTTTTACATTGTATCTGGATGAAATCGCAACAAGTGGTTCCTTAATTGTAACCTCTGAAGATTTTATTTTACAATCTATTAATAAGATTTAATAAAGAGGTGTCAACCGTAGAAAATTCAGGACAATGACCCTTACTCGTGTAGAGCAAGATATTCAATTCCTCTAAACGAACGTTAAGGAAATATGGAATCATTTTGGTTTCAAATATGTTCCAAGCATTACGTTATAATCGTCAATATGTTACTCGTCGTCTCTTTTGTTTAATCTGTCTATCAATCATTTGTCACTCATTCATCACAAAAGTTTATCAATTTGGCTAAGGTTAAATCGTACACAAAATTTGATTCCTTCTTTCAAAATTGATAGTCTACTACTCTGAAATCGACGAACATGTGTAAGTTGCGACGATGAAAGGAGTATTTGAATCCTCGCGAGGATTAGACAGGAAAAACGGAATTGTTTACAGACGAAGACGGTCCGAAATGTAACGTGAAACTATGCTCGGACAACGCTGTTCCCTCAGCGTCTGTGGTTCGCAATTGTCTCGGTTCATCGTTGGCCAAAGTGTTTTTCGAATATACACATCGTGACACGACGAGTTTGTTGAACGTATTGACACCGCCGCAACGATCAAGAACATGTTTCTCGATCCCATCCGACGTTCACTTGGATCAAAGCGAAACCGCACCGCCAACAGACCATCAGATCACAAAAGCGTTCGTGCATCAGAATATATTAGGTAAACGTGACGAGAGAACGCGCGACACTTGGCTGATGATTCTCGAATGAAATCTAGAGATAGGCGAAGCCCTTCTGGAGGAGGTGAAGAAGCAGATCGAGGAGAGTCTGCGTGAAAAGATAGAGAGACAGTCGCGGGAGAAGTTTTATTTGTATCAGGCGAAGAAACGGCGGGAGGCCGAGGTGTACGCGGAAAAATTACACGAGAAATATCAGGATTACATAGAGACCGTTCGCCACGTGTTACAGGAACAGCTAGAAGTAATAGTCTTTGCTAATCGCAAAACGCTTCAGCCTTTATCTTGATCTTAAACGTCACGCCGGTCACGTAAAATTGTATCTATCATTCTATCGCTAAAGCTCACGTAGATTTGTTTGTATATTCGAATCCTGTTTTCATTGTACTTGAAACAGTTGATTGATCGCAGATAATAAAAGTATCGATTAGATACGGGATTTTGAATTGCGAACGGAAAACGAGAAGAGAGCAAACGGGGGTCTCGCTTTTCAGGTAGAATGGAGCAAAGCAGCGGCCGAGTGTGCCAAGAACACGCAGAAAGCGGTCGTGCAAGAACGGATAAATGTCGTGAACGAAATGATGCCGAAAATGCGAGCAGAAATGACCTATGCTATCCAGTCGTTGTACAAAGAGTTCAACGAGATATTCTGTGCCCAACGTGACAAGATAATCGCCGATTTCAATCAGATCATGAGGTTCGCGTATCGATGCATCGTCTTCAGTAAATTAATTGAAATTCTAATGAAATTCGTCTAGGGACAAGCATGTGAAACTACAGGAGGAAATGCGAGAGTTTCGCGAGACAGTGAGTAGGGACTTGCACATTCAGAGACGTCAGTACGAAATGCAAAACGCGGCGGATGTGATCTACGTCCTCTGTATGGAACGGCTGCGAAGTAGCAAAGAGAAGCATGTCATGCACAAGTATTTTCAGGTATAGGGATTTTAAGGAATACGATGAATTTTACGTTTCATGTAAAATTTGTTACGAAACAGCAACAAGTCGAAGAATTTTACAAACTGATCATTCGCTTGAGAGACGTGGTCAACCTGATGCGGGAAGAAATTCTCGATTGTCATATCGAGAAGAAACTGTTGGAAGAACAGCTCTCAAAAGTTATTAAGCATTTTCAGAAGTTCATCAACTTTGTGTTTCGTGCCATGCCGGGACATGCGAACTATTTGTTGCCGTTGGAATTACAACGACTGATTAGGCGAGATAACGACGAAGAGGATAAAACTAATAACGAGGAGCCCAATAAGGGGCAGCAACGGAAATCATGATCGTCTAACGATGTAACGTCAAAATTTGTTAACGTCAAAATTTGGAAACGTGCAAAGTGTCGTTGCTCAATAAAATATATAAAAAAAGAAATAAAAATCATATAAACGATTTGATGAACTTACAAATCCTCCGTGCAGAGGAAATCGGTACATCGGGGCACAAAAGTCATTTTTTATTGATGAAAAACAATAATATCGAATAAAAATCGAATAAACTATCGATCACGAATAAAGATACTAGATACGATCTTGCCAGTCGAAACACATAAATTAGATACAGATTATAAAACACGTGTATAAAAGTTAAAACTGGATAGAAACGTTAATTATAATCTTCGTCACATATGAAACCTGTAGTTCGCGAAGGGCGATACCAATCTGGATCTCTCCGAAGACTGGATATGTTCGGATGATAAAATTCATCGAATATAACAGATTGCCCAGCGAATTTGCTACGTGGAAGAGGTGGATAATCTTTGAGACGCCATCCGTAAATCCAGTTTGTGCAATCCGGATAATAATAACGCTTCTCTGGAATGTCTTTCAGTCTAAAATGATCGACGCTTATTAGTGTAAGTTGAATCATTAAAACTCCGAGTTGCTTGCTTATCATTCTACTTTCGTCTCTCCTTTTCCGAAAAATTATTATTTGATTACTACTAAAATTTGCAAGACCTTTCGTAAATATAATTTTCAGCGGTGATGAAGCTGGGCTGGTCTTCGTATAAAATGGCCTTTACTCGCGGATCAACGGGTGTCATTATATCCATTTTTATGGAACCGTCTGGTTCGCGCGGTCTCCAATTCGGCAGCGGTTTCAAACGTATCTATGAAACATAAAAGTATGATTTCTCTCGCTACGTTTCACTCGCTGGGATGAGTAATCATTTGTAACATGTAACACAGATGCATACTGTGTCCACTACGGTCGGTTCTCTTTCTGGCTCGATCTTCGACGGCAATTCGATCTTTTCCGTCTTCTTCAAATGATCCAACAATTTCTGCTGGTTCGTCAAGAACCATCTGATACGCGTGTTCTCCTCTTTCTCTATCATCGCGGTGTAAAATCCTTGGCAACGAGCGTCGCAAATGCTTCCCCTGCTCGCCATCGTTCACGTACTCAGGAATTTGTACAAGAGCGAGACCAAAATCTGTACGTACGCCCATTGATTCAAGTAAAAGCTGAATTTATAGATAATTTTCGACATAGCATGACTCTGAAATGTGATCACGTCTGCACGATGCTCCGATGTTCGATCAACGGGTCGTTGAGTCTTCTTCGGCAATTGTTCCACGATACAGTAGGCGAGAGAAACGCTTTCTGTTATTATCAATACGCTCATAGAATTAGTTTATTTACATCGTTATTACATGTAATATACTGTACTGTACATCGAGTTAGTTGTAGTCGAGTTAGTACTTTTTTGTTAGAGTACGTTTATGTGATAGTATCAGTGGGAGCATTGTCTTATATACAAACTTGTTGAGATTCCTCTTGACTCGACTTTCAATGGGCGAAGAATCGAAAATAATAAATCCAAGAAAGAAATTGTACGAATGGTTTTATTTATTTTTCAGGCGATGAGAGACCGTGGAAATGGACATTGCTGGTATCACCCTTGCTACTCCACGCAACGTGAGTATTTATTTAAATAATTAAAAAAATACACAATCAAATTTTACGCGATCAAGTTAGACTGCGAACGTAAATTTTATTTTTATATACGACGATTGTACAATACGCACGCATGTTGTGTTCGATAACACGTATGTACTCGTATCGTATTTTTTCCCATTCAAGAATCGTATTATCTTCGCATCATAAGAACGTATGATTAAAAATAACTTTGAAAGAGAAATCGTCTACGTTACCTAGCAAAAGAAAATATGTTTATCAAAAATGTATATATTCTTTTTTACACACATAACAAGAAATAATGATTACATTATTTTACGATGTCGAATAACGATATATAATTATTAATAACAATGAATAATAATAAATAAATATGGCGTGAAGTGTGAGTTTTCATATGATATTACTCCCTCTTAAAGTCAACATCAAATGACCCAGTAATCACAGCCATAGGAAGCAATATTTGATGATGTCATCGTGAAGTTTACATACGACGTTCTTATATTACACTGACTAAAAAGCGATCTCTTAGTTTGTACTTGTATGATGAAGGCGATTTTTACTTGTCGCACACTTTTCTTTTCTATATCTCGCACTCGCGTAATGCTGTAACTTATCTACATTGTCCTCTACGAGATAATCGAAATTCTTCTACTGATCTTTTACGCATATCACGTTTAACATTTCGTTCCGCAGTCGATAGATCCGTAATAAATTTACATTTTAATCTAGAAAACTTAGAACCTGCGGTATCACGTTTCGTTCAAAAGGGTATTGGAATATTAGAATTTTTACATGTTCTTCCTGCCCGGAGCAGGTCTAATCACGAATTTTCCATTTCAAAAATTTCAATTATGCCCACTCAATTATGCTAAACGTACTTCCGTCAGAAAATTATCTTTTTTTCCCATGCGTCCCACTGTTTTTTATTTTTCTTTTATTTTTAAATCTATGCGTATGTATATATTGTACAATACTTAAATATACTATGTAATCTAACTCACTGTTCAAGTGGAGCAATCTTCTTTTCGACTCAGTGTTTAATTTCTGTAGTGATCATGTTTTCCCTTACATTGAAATTTGTTCCAGTTCAAAATATCGATACACGAAATGTCTGTCCAATTTCAAATTAAATTACATGCATAATTCTTCCAGATATGCAAATATAAAAATATCTCGCTGATTTCGACGAATGATTCATGCGACTTAGGTTAACACGCAAATATACAAAAATACGTCGTACACATAAATTGATCGTAATTGAAATTTGTTCTTTTTACTCCATATGAACAGTACGGCAGACGATAGTATGTCTAATTATTTTTACACACCGGATTGTAGTCACCTATTGTCTATCAATAATAATACTAATAATATACAATTTTTCAAAGTAATATCGCTAACTAATAATTTCGTTAATTTCCCTTTCAAAGTGATACTCTGTCTGAACAATGGGCTAAACAAAATTTTGTAAACGTCGACCGATTTGTCCTGATTTTCTGGTGACACGTTCGTGGATCGTTTCAACGTACTGAAAAAAAATGCAGTCATCGTTTCCCGATCAGCTATTTGAGAGTGTTCGTACGTTAAGAATTAACGTAGCGTTCCATAGAGTCTGTGTCCTGCACTTGACTCAATCTTCGTTCCAGTCACCCTTCGTTTACTCTTCCATATAATATGCATCCACTAGTTCGAATTACTTTACATGCATAATCATAACGTGACGATAAATGATTCAACGAAATATTATTGATAAATTCTCCAAATGTGAAAAACCTGACGCTTTGTCCAGCTAATCCTTCGACGAAATATTTAAATTGTCATAATCAGAAGGATCGAGAGTACCTAACTGGTGGTCACATCGAGTAATACGGTGGTCGGAGCGTTTTTGTTTAGGTACACGCTTACATCCTGGAATCGACTAGACTTCGTCGAGGAACCTTGACTCTGGTTTAATTCGTTCGAGGAATCGATGCCAGTTTCTAGTCCGTCGCCCTGATTTTTGTGCAGTATATACTTGAAAAATTCGTATCTAAACAATGAGAAGAGAAAAGAAACATCGTCATCTCTCGTTCTCGTTCGAGCATCTTTAAAAGTAACCGTGGTAATTATATGCCAGACACTTACGTTGACCAGCAGATGGTAGTTGCCGGAATTTGATAAAGGACGCGGGCATTCAGGCCGCGGAAATAGCCACGTACGCCCCCGTATCTATAAACCTTTTTGAAAGCGTCTATCATACCCCGAGCTTCCACGCCATTTTGCGTATTTAAAAGCGTTTTACAAACGTCCAAAGGTGTCGTGACCGCAGCAGCAATAGCTCCTGCTAATGCACCTGCGAAATAGTACAGCTCGTTCGAATTACACGAATTCATTATATGAGTACGTTTGGGTATATCCCGTTTCCTCTTAGCAGATACATACATACCTGATACCATGTGTGCTATAGGATTGTACATGTGCTGAGGATTCGAGAAAGCTTGAGCAACTTCGTATGTGATAAAGTGGATCATCTGAAAGGGTACGTTCATCGCCAATTGTGTCGTGTAACTTCTGTAGAATGCGTATGCACCTTCGTTCTTGTATATACTCGTCACGCACGTTATGACGTCCCGATAAGGAGAGTTATACATTTGTAATCGTTGTTTGACCACTGCAATGACAAGACAAGTTTATTCCTCACTGGATCATCTCCAGGAATATTTCATTTACCTTCTGCTGGATTCATCACGCCATCGTGAAGAAGCGTCGCCACGCAACCGGCGGCTCCGTACGCGGCTACATTAAATTCAGGATGCGTTTTTGAATTGAGGAATTGATTCTTTAGGAATTCGTAGCACGAGAAATATAATGCATGCGCGGGGCCAGCTCCAACGACCATTGCACTCATACCACGAATCGGTCTCAGAATCCCTTCCTGTTGCACCATTCTGCTCAACACCGACTTTATGCCATCCGCCCTGCGAGCACCCGGTGTCAACGCTTGCATCCTCGTCTAAATAAAAAATAGAGTCGATTCAATAGAATTCTTTTCTCGTATATCTCAGATTAATATTTCACGTATCAATGGACTGTTTAGACGCAACTTTGCTCAACATTTTTCAGTGATCGCTGATAGGAAAAGATATGAAGTTATCAAGACACTCTTGTCTTGCAACCATGACTTGCATTTATTTAAAGATTTTTAAATAATAATTACTTTTTAATCATTGTTTACATGCCACAAAAAATAAATACAGGCATTTCAAACGGTATGAAGGTAGAGGAGATACAAGTTAGATTGTAAAAATTAATTTCTTACACCGGCTCACATAGCATCATCGTATTGCCATCGGTACCGAGTTTTCTAATGACTACACGTAAAAGTAACTGCCGGTAGTTTGAAAAGAGAACCAAAAATAGAACTGAGAAGCGTGTTATATAATGAATGAATTTGAAGCTCATGTTCTGTTTAATTCTCTTGTATGTCTGCTTCACACGATAGCTAACGTAGTTAAGAGAGTAGTAAAAATAATCGACAGGTGTAACGAAAACAATTTGTACGTTCATGAATTGATTAAAAACAGTTAATCAGAGTAAAAAGTTTATTTTATTCATCATCATCGGTTGACATAATTTCATTATAATTCTATATATAAAATGTAGCTAGATTTACAGTGGCAATAATGCATTATGACATAACAGACGGTATGCATGCTGTTTTGATAAATGTTGGAGAATGGCAAGGAACGTGTTACAGAACATTATTGCTAAATCATTTGATGACTAATTCATTTTTCAACAGACTCTAAGACGATTGTTAGACCTGGAAACGGTTACGAAATTGCATTGCCCAAAGCGTTTGCATAATTTTGTAACAACAATACAGAACGTGAAATTGTACGATCGAAAGTTGATACCTTGAGATCAACATTAACTGCGTCAGAACTTTAAGTACCATCATTATTTACTTAAGATTATAACGACGATCGTATGGCATGCAAACTTGGCGATACAAGGAAAATGATAAAGACCGAAACGATCGTCGGGTCTTCGAATATCCATAATTACTATTATTCAAAGACCAGGCGATTCGCACCGTCACGTTATTAAAATTCATCGGATTTTGTTAGGGCGCATCGCACGATCGAGTCGGTCATGATTATATATCGTGCGAGTTTAGGTTATGTAAAGAGCATCAGGAGAGAAAAAAATGTACCATAGAAATAAGAGCTGTTACCTTAACACTGTCAAGCGGGTACATCACGCAATGCTCCATAATTCCGGCGAATGCACCTGCTGTCATGTGTATCGCCACCGAGGATGTGGGCAAACTCTCGTAAACATCATGCGAGCTCATATTTTCTTCGGGTCAATTTAAATACATACGATTTTCAGTTTCACGACCTTTTAAACGCGAGTATGTGATCAGTGATTATAGGTATGCCTCGTCTTACAGCAGGTTTCGGCACTTTCCGTTACCGAGTTTCACAGTTTACGCAGCGGCATTAGCCTTCCGATCGCCGAAACGTTCATTTAAGTCGAGGTTGATGTTCGTTGATAGTGTCTTGACGCAACTCCTCAGTGAAATCGTAAAGACTGCTGCTAGGTGCTAGTCCCGGACAATGAGAAAATTTACAATGTAGAATGATCAAAAATATTAAGTATCCCCACTACGTAATTCACAGGAAAGAAATTCTGATCTTCTCAATTATACTTTATCAATGTACAAGGGCACATGGCATTCGCGTATAGTTGTTTGTTCGAATCGTTATGGAACTCGGTACATACTGGCATTCTGTGGCAATACGGTTACGGATCGTCATACGTTCTCGTGCGGCCAGGTTAGGTGTACGCGCACGTGTTACGCATGCGTCGTATTCAACCACGTGGTTTATGCGTACATATACTACTGTGCTCAGTATGCACTACCTACGCCTACGCATGCAGGAGAGGGAGGAGGATTTAATAGGTAGCATGACTGAAGAAAACATGTTATGTAGACAGATTGATAATCTGACTCGTTCCTAGAAAGATGGGTCACTGAATTCACGTGGGTTTTAACGCCGTGGAATGAATCTCCGTCCATGTTCGTCGAAGGTTTTTCCACAATTGCGTTTCGTTCGTTTAATCGTTTAGACTCCTATCAAGAAAATTTATTCTACTCTGTTACAGTTTAATATACCTGATAACAATTTATCATTAAGTATGACCTCAGCATGTCTATAAGCCAAGGAACTAAGTCAACGATAAATTAAATAACGCATGTTCGCTCGATTCTTCAGCGAGAAGTCGTCCAGCCCCTATTTTACTCGGATAGATACAGATATCTTACAATTAGATAATGCGAAGAATGATAAGAATTTATAGTTCATTCAATCTGATAAGGAATCATTGCTATGTGTGATGGTAAGTGATCGGTCTCATTAAAAAATGTAACGCCCCATATTGATTTAGATTTCAGGTTTCGTAGCATTATATTTTATACGCGTTAGACAATACATGTGCAATACCTACTACATATATAGCATTGTATTACGTAGCATATGACAAACTGTTCAGATATTGCGCTATTTATAGAAAATATCACGAACGTTGTACGCTGTAACCGAGTGCTACCTCGCAACATAGTTGCAACGTTTCTTCCCGGATGCACGGTCGCATAAAAAATTAAAAGGAAGTTGATCATAAAGAATTCATCATAATACAAACAAAGGTCTTTGCATGCGCTGCATATGGATTTATGTGGATCTCGATTAGACAGCGAAGCCGTTACGATAAATACAAGTTGCACTTGCCCAAACTGAAAGACAATGATTCGACGTACTTAATTGAAATTGCAAGCATACATGTAACTCAATTACCTAATCGTGTACGATGTTCTTGTGTAATAGTTCTCTTTCCTCTCGCGGTTAAAAGAATCGTAGTGCACGTGTCAGGGATATCACTTTCGTAGGAAACCTGTAGACTTGTTAAATAAATTATACGAACGTTATAAAACCTTTGAATTCTGTCTCACGTTCCGATCTGTGTCCCCCATCCCATCGTTTCATGTTACTTGAAGAAAATATCAGCTGAAACTCATCGCAAAGATTTCCTGTAGTTAATTGTTATGCGCACATGGGGGAGGATTTATTAAAGTACACGTACACATTATGAACGATTTAACATGTATACAAAAATTCGCTTTATTCAAAGCAACCATAGTATATAATTATAATTTATAAATTGTTAATCGCTATATTACATATGGCAATAAATATTTTAAAAAGTTGGAAAAAATATTCTACAGTATTTTCATAATAATGTGTAATGTACCGCTTTATGTACGTATGAATGTGTATGTACATATTTGTACAACCTTACGCGTGTACAGAATAAAGAACACGCATTACTTACACGTAACGCTTCTCTACCTCTACTTTATTACTACCGACGGTTCTTTAAGTATCTAAAGGAGAACGATCCTACGCATAATTTATTAGTACATGACGAAAGTGAACGATTCTTAAAAATTCTCTCGCTGCTAGTCATTCCGTAGTCTCTTTTTTTAAAAAGCCAGATCATCGAAACTATTTCATATATGCATTCATCAACGACACGATTACGTTGTTGAAGAGTGGATTTAAAAGAACTTTATACTTTCGTAGGGGTGTGGAAAACATCACTTGGTTGACTACATTTTCTTCGATTTGCGTTTGACAAATATACTCTGTCATTTAAATGTACCCATTGGGTATCGGTAAAAATTGCAAACTACCAACTCCAGACTTGTGTATTCGTTTATAAGTTGAGCTTCGTACAAAAATTTCGATACAAGCATCGTGAAAAAATAAGAAATTTATATTATGAATATTTTCGTTCTTATAAACAAGAACCACGTAAGTATACATATTACGTCTGAAACAAAACTTAAGAATACATTATTCACAGAAGTTTGTACACGTCCTTTTTGGAAATAATAAAATCTCGATGAATTTTATCGAAACTGAACGTCTACATAGCGTTGTCCAATGTGCATTCGTACGTAAATGTGTATCTCACTAATACTGCGTTATACTCATTATTACTATATAATTATTATGCAAATTATAATCGTTTAATCAATTGGCCTTTTAACGCTTTCATTCGAAGAACGTCAACCGACAGAAAACCTTTGAACACGTTTATACAATCTCAAAAGTTGCATAATAATAATAAATTTTTTGAATAAATTTTACAGATACTGTACGTCTGATAGTTTAGAAATTCTTCTTTCCGGTCTCACATCAACATTACTTTTTTATTAATTAAAATTGATTCAAATATGTATATACATACGTATATATATATATAATAGAATCAACAACTAGGACATCTGATCTTGCATTAGATAAAGTAAAATATAACTTAACACCTGAAACTACGAACTACTAGCTATACCTGATTGGATCTCCTACTTCTGCGAGAAGAACTTGAAAACAATGGACGTGGTTTGTACAAGTCGTCGCTCGAGTAACGTTGACTACTCCGGTGCCGGCTGTAATTACATAACAACAGTGTAATAAATCTTTACTCATCTCATTTAACATCCGATTAAATGTTGAACGAAAAAATCAGATGGAATATCCGAGGTACCTTTTATCTTCCTTGATGGTGTTCGAAGACGGTATTTTCTCGCTGGTCGCGGATACGTCGCTTTCGGGGCTCAAAGGCATGACAAAATTCTCGCCGTTCAAGAGCACCTGCGGAGTACATATGTTCGGTTGAAGCCTCTGCTTCTTAGGCGGAATCAATTTCCTCTTCTTCATGTTGGTCAACGTTTCTTCGCTCGTCGAGTCCAGCACCTTTTTATGCCCATCGTTATTGTTATTCGAATTATTCAACAGTATATCCGTCAATGGACTGGAAGAAAGCTTGCGTTTCGGTAAAGGTGGTGCCATGGCTTTCGGCATCGAAGACACAATTTGTCCCCCTAAACTCTCTATCATCTCCTCTAAGGAACTGTTTTCCATTAACTCTAACGACTCTAAGAAACTGGAGAATTTTTCCCATTTCTCACTGTCGGCCTTGAAATAACGACAATCTCCGTTGTCGTCGGTTCCCGTCGACGTAGATTCTATCGTCCGTGGTTCTTCCTTAACGTTTCTGATGCAACCTCCCTTACTCGTGTCGTTGCTCGGATCATCATCGTATCCAGAATATTTAACGACGTCTTTAGAACAACTTGCATCGTCCACGTGTGCGCTGCTCGACTCTGACTCTTCTTCGCTTTTTATGTTTTCTTCTTCTTTAATAATATCACGATCAAGAGATTCTACACATTCTTCCGTTTCATCAATTTTTTCTGTCTTTACTACCGCATTGTTGTCTCTTTCTTCTGTCACAGGAGACAATGACCGTTTATTTTGCGATTCTTCAGCTCCTTTATTGTCAGACAGATTTGTTTGAGTATCGGAACTTGATTGTTGCGTAGATTCTTCTTCTAACGTTTTGTCATTTAACGATACGCACAGTTCCTTGCCAGGCAATTTCAATTTCAGATCGGAACGCGTCTCCAACATATCTTTTGTGCCAGCTTCTGTTTGTAACATCATTATTGATCTCTCTTCCAGCGTCAAGTCGCTCTGCTTCTCAGGATACGGTTCTTCGTATTCCTCATCCGGCACTTCTATTATTTGAACGCGTTCTTCATCCGGCATACTTTCAAACGTTTCATTGTCCAACGTGTTTGCTTGTACCGGATCTTCCGTCCTTTGTGCGAATCTTTTCTCCAATTTTTTCGTCTCCTTGAGTTTTTGTTTTTCTATTTGCTTTCTGATCTTCATTAATTTCTTTGCTTCGTGGAAGTTCTTGGCAAATTTCGGTTTCTTCAATTTAATGTCTCCTAACGCACCGTCGTCACCTGCTGACAATGCTCGCTTTTTCAGAGGCAACATTTCTGATTCTGGCCCAATCTGTGTCTCGTGATCATCAGCGTCGTCTGCCTTGTACTCCGCTGCTCCCTTATTCGACTTACAGCTCTGTTCTTCCATGTTCGATGATTTCATGTCGCTCGTACGCACTTCTTCGATATTATCCGAGGTCTCGCTACCAGAATTGTTTACGTGATTTGTTTCTTTGGTCAGACCCGACGTGCTCGATTTGCTCGCGATATTGGAACCCGAATTGTTGGACTGCGAACTCTTGCTGCTCGATCCGTTCGAACCGTCTCTGTCCGTGGAACGTCGATCGTTCGAGTTTCTCCTCAAACTAGAATGATCATCCTTAGATTTCGACTTTTTCTCCTCTCTTCGTTTCTTATCCTTAGGATGCAAATCATTTTTACTATCTTTTCTATCCAGTTTCTCGTTCCGCGCCGAACCTTTACTCTCGGCGTGATTCTTCGCTTCTCTTTTAGAACCGTTCACCTTCTCGCTGCTCGACTTCTTCGTCTCAGCTTTTTCGTTTTTCTCTTCCTTCTCATTTTTCATCGACTTCTTTACATCCTGTTTATCCAATCTTTCCGTCGAATCCGACTTATTACCGATAGAATTCTTCAACTTCGAATGATCTTTAGAACTACGTCTCTCGTCCCGTTTATTCTTATCTTTGTCCTTCGATTCGCTTCGTTTCTTTTTTTCATCGACAATTTTCTCGGACGATTTAGAAGTCTTGAGTTCGTGAGAACTCGAGGAAGTACTCCTGGAAGATGTTTTGCTGTCTTTCTTATACGGCTTCTTATCTTTCAGCGAATCCTTTTTATCTTTATTCTCCTTGTTTTGGTTCGACTCCTTCACGTCTTTGTTCAATTTCTCCTTTTCCGTTAATTCTTTCTTCTCCCTGAGCTCCCTAATTTTCTCCTTGTAAAGATCTTTCAAATCTTTGCTCTCTTTACTGACGTTATCCTTCCCATCGGTTTCTTTTGTTTTCACGCAAGTATCCTTCTCCGCATCTTTGACTCCATCTGCGATTTCCTTGGGTTGATCGTTCTTATCTTTGCTCTTACTCTTGTCGTATTTCTCGTACTTCGAACTGCTGTGACTCCTCTCCTTCTTTTTATCGCTACTCCTGTCCCTGTGATGCTTTCCATCTTTCGCGCAATTTTTATCTTTCGACTTCAACTTCGACTCGCTGTCTCTGCTCCTTTCCTTGCTCTTGTTCTCGTATTTCTCTTTTACGCTACTGTCCGTGGCATCACGCGAGTTCTCCTTAGAGGATAAATTGCTTTTAATACTCTTCGAATCTTTACCATCCTGTACATCTTTACCTTTGTTTAATTCAAAAATATTTTTATTACTCTTATTCTTGCTCGAGTCGCATTCTTTGACGGGTTTAAAATTGTCTTTACTACTACTTTTAACATCACATTTATCTTTGCTGGCCTCGTCCTTCGGCATGTCGCAAAACGGTGTCGACGCAGGATTCGAAGATCCCAAATCGGTCACAATGGACAATCGAGAATCGGAGGAAACTTTGCTCAGGTGCGAGTCCTGATTACTGTACTCGAAATTGTCTCTCGACAGTTCGTTGCAAAAATCAGGACTCCCGGATCTGTGACTAGTCAATTCCGATATACCCGATAAATGTGAATCGTTAGAATTGTTCGATTCGTTCAAATTCATAATATCGATCGGTTCGAATGTGGGACTGTCCTCTTCATCCTCCTCTGTTTTATCATCAGACTTTCCGAACGTATTCAAATTTAAATTACTACCAGTCTTATTAAAAGTTTTATCACTTCCATCCAACGTCTTCTCCTCGGAGAGAACTTGCTCGTTCTCAGACGCATTGTCTCCGCTTTTCTCATTCGAGGTCTCTTCCCTCTGCGACTTTTGTTCGTCGGTTAATTTCGCCTCTTTTTTCATTTCTAAATCCTCGATGCCATCCATGGATTCCAGGGATACATCTTTCAAACTATTTTTGTCAGATTCCGGCGACACTGGATCTAAATCTTTGGGTAACAAATCTTTAAGGCCACACGCACCGTTCCTCTCTCTCGCCTTAGGTCTTTCGATTCCTAGAAATTTATATACCACGTCTTCTATCTGAGGCATGAAGACAGAATATATTTTTGGATTCACCACTTGATCCACTATGCGCTCTACACCGGCGTCTAAGTAAGGAGCTTCGTTTATCTGTTTCCTCAACGTCTCCCTTAATTGATTCTTATTTAAATCTGGTTTCCACGATTGTTTACTGAGAAAAGAATTTACCGACCCTTCAACTCTCGTATGCAAGTTTTGATATGCTGGCTGCAATGAAAATAATACAGATTGAAATATTGTTAACAGCTCTTTTCGTAGCATGTCATTCATTCTATCGCATAGCATCTGCATGAATGTCATATTTGAAAAATACAAATAAACATTACCGTAATTACGAGTGGGTCAAGATCGCGATCAGAATGGCTTTACGAATAATTTTATCATTATGCGAAGTCATGACAGCATGTAAATGTTACAAATTACATTGCTTACCTTTGTATCAACATCCGCGATACATTCTTTACGGAATTGATCAAAGATCCCTTGAGATTTAACTTCTCCCACGATGTGATCCACTAATCGTGGATCACCTGCCAACAGTGTGTTGGACAATCCTAACTCCATGGCAAATACGATGCGTGAAATGATTGTAATTTATTCGTACACTAAACAATTATTCATTTTCACCGACCAATTCGTCCCATGAAACAATGCGTATCTCGATACTGCGTCCCTCTCTCTCTATCTATCTGGCTTTGTCTGGCTGAGTTCGCAATGTTTGCATCTATCAGGTTAAAGAGCAAACGAATAGCGATCAGTGATACCAAACGTAGACGTTGAAATTCGAACGTACCATACCAGTGTGAATCCAGCTTTACACTTAGGTTATTCCGTCCAAAAAGATCTATTAAAATTGTTTTTATTTTGATGTGTCAAACAGTATCGATCACAATTCTGTAAACGTCTGATCGAGCATTGAAAAGATAAGACGTACATTTATTAACACTCGTTTTGAATTTTGTCCCCTAGGGGAATCTAACACATGCACATAGCTGGCTCAGTTTTGTTGTTACTAGCTGTACGGCGCTATAATCGAAATTCCTCGAATCTTACGATCAGAGAGAAAACTGCAGTTTTCCGGTTAAAAAAATAATGGAAGGAATCGTCCAAGAACAAGTGTATCGAAAATAAGAGAGATCGATTTATAAGAAAATAAAAAAAGAATAAATCACAACATATCGATGAAGACGATCGACCGGGAGAGAGCGTGGGAGAGAGGGAGGGAGGTGCCTGAGGAGCACTATTACAGGAAGACTACTACAATTACATGGATCGTGGGTGAACGTGTAGTGGTTTTTAATAGTAGGCAGCTAATTTGGAGATGCACGAAGTGTCTGCAAAACACGGCGTTAATTTGTATCAAACGTTGGTCGCCGGAGTGTTTGTGGTTGTCTCACGGTTCCCGTGAGTGTCTCGTCGTGTGCGGCGTGTGTGGAAAATTGCGCGCAGCATGCCGGAATTTTATAAAGTCGAAATAAACAGGACCGAATGGGAGGTTCCGGAACGGTATCAAATGCTCACTCCAGTGGGATCGGGAGCGTACGGCCAAGTGTGGTAAGCATGAAAAAGAATCATTGTAACAGCAACGAAATCACGCGTGTCAATAATTACCGGGGACCATCTCCGATGGCCCCCAGTTGGAACGTCAGCTTGTTTTAAATGATCCCGCTTCGTTTCTTTTTAATAATGCAGAATCCGCCGTGTCGGAGCCATGAACCAATCATTAACCTTGACATTTCTCTCGTTCGTTACTTTGTTTTTTCCTTTTTTTTGTAATTCATATTATTAGGTGTTTATTCGTTGAATAGAAATTAGGATCGCGGCAGCTTGTGCGAGCGTAACCGTCGCGTCCTATATCGCGGGCCGAACTAAAATTAGAATTCGTTTGACAATGCCTTTCAGCAAAACTGGATTTAATAAAAACTGTTGCACGACGTTGTTTTTGAAGCCTGATTCTCGTTCTTCTTTTATCTATCATAACAATCGCTGTCAATTGTTCAATAAATTTCTCATCGACGCTGTCATCTTTTATCTGACAATTAACAATTTCATTAATTATCTCGAGGAAGTAAATTGTTTCACGATCAAAACAATGATTTTCATCGAGATAAATTCATCCAGCTTTCTTGTGATTCCTTCAGTTCAGCAGTCGATTCGAACACCGGCCAGAAAGTAGCGATAAAAAAATTAGCCAGACCATTCCAATCAGCTGTGCACGCAAAGAGGACCTACAGGGAGCTTCGTATGTTGAAGCATATGAATCATGAGAATGTAAGTTACGTGTCGTGCACGTAAATATATGTGAAACATATTTTCGTAGTTGGCACTGTAGAAATTAATGGATTTGGGAATGTTATCTTGGCACTAAAATCGAAGATAAACACACGAGTTTCATCATGCCATTGTTAATTTAGAAAACTCGCTCGTGACTCGTACATCGGTTTAGTCATGTCACGATATAACGATCAGATCGTTTTATTATAGGTAATTGGTTTGTTGGATGTATTTCATCCATCTTCCTCTCTGGAAGATTTTCAACAGGTGTAAGTATCTCCATCGCCATCGTTCTCCCTACTCTGCTCTTCGCTCGTCACGTTTCAGTAATCTCATGTACTTGCGACAGATATTTAGTCACTCATCTGATGGGTGCCGATCTCAATAATATCGTAAGGACTCAGAAACTGTCGGACGATCACGTACAATTCCTCGTCTATCAGATCCTTCGTGGTCTCAAGTACATTCATTCCGCGGGTATAATACACAGGGTAAGATGAATGAGAAAGAATTTTTTAAGTATATAATTTGGTTAACGTTTTTACTCGTTCTATTTAGGATTTAAAACCGTCTAACATAGCTGTGAACGAGGACTGCGAGCTGAAGATCCTCGATTTCGGTTTAGCCAGGCCCACAGAGAACGAAATGACCGGTTACGTCGCCACTAGATGGTACAGAGCTCCAGAGATCATGCTAAACTGGATGCATTATAATCAAACAGGTGGATCATTTATAGCGCTCCTACGTTCGCGAGTATTTGGCGATTTATTTAAATCCGTAATGAATTCTTTCAGTCGATATTTGGTCAGTCGGATGTATAATGGCCGAATTATTAACCAGCAGAACGTTATTTCCGGGGACAGATCGTATCCTTTCGATGCAGTCATGCTTTCTGACTTCTTCTAATACTGTTCAATGCACCTAATTAATGTTTGTGCTTTTTATATAATGATACCGTATCCTCATTGACATTTTAATCTGTTTTCACGAGTGTTTAACAAATATTCTGAACAAAACAAATGTTCGATCGTCTCGAAGTTAAGAATGAAATGTGCTTTTTGCTAAGGCTCTACGCGGCTTCTTTTTTTCTCTATTTATTTTCCAATTCTTTCACTAATATCGTAATCATACTATTTGCCATTTGAGAAGGATGGCTTTTATTCAGCTTTTGTTTCGAAGGGAATTAATTGTAATTCTGTGTACGAACAGACGACAGCCGTCTATGTGCATATATATTTTCTAATGCGCTTTAATGCACGAAGTCGTATTCGCGTAATGATCGAGAGTACAGCGAAAGTAGAAAAAGGTGTGGTGGAACCTTAGCAAGAGCAGATATACACCAACTGAACTTGATAATGGAGATACTGGGTACTCCACGAGACGAGTTCATGCAAAAAATATCCTCGGAGTCGGTAAGTAGTATGTTTTTTAATTATACAAGACTTACAACCGACGGACGGAGCTCAAGTAGTGCATGCTGCTCGTTTATAACTTATTTCGATTTAAATGCCTCGCATGATGTATGTTCTCTCAATCGATTTTAACATATCTCCTTGATTAATACAATTACTTTGGTGTATGAAATGAATTCTAACATTTACTAAGTCATCGAATGAATATTTCTTTGGAATGATAATAAAATGGCTTGAGATAGACAAGATCGCATTCTTTCGAAGTTTCTTCCCTCATTCCTCTGCAATAAATTATTGCTTTAAACATACCTTAACTTTGAACAGACATTGATCATCTAACACGAGTCTTAATGCTCTGTGGTACACCCACAGAGGAAACTTTAAACAAAATTACCAGCCAAGAGGTAATTTTTCTCAAATAAATATTTTTTACGATACTTTTTGATAGTGTCTATTTTTTTCCGAGTTTAATACCTTGAGTTTATATCGTGTACAAATAATGAATATTAAACGCTGCAACCGAAATGAAAGATGCAGAAAATAACTAACGTAATAAGCTGACCTTAAAAAGTTGTCTTTAAAAATTTATATCGAGTTACGTGATGATTGTTTTAGGCGAGGAATTATATTCAGAGTCTACCTCCGTTGAAGAAGAGGAACTTCAAAGAAGTTTTCCGCGGGGCCAACCCTTTAGGTAATCGCGGATTATCGGAGACTTTTCAAATCCCAATTACGCATGTATATTAGAACGTATGACATGTTTCAGCGATAGAGCTACTCGAACTCATGTTAGAGTTAGACGCAGAGAAACGAATCACGGCGGAACAAGCTCTGGCTCATCCGTACCTCGCTCAGTACGCGGATCCAACCGACGAGCCGGTATCTCTGCCGTACGACCAGAGTTTCGAAGATATAGATTTACCGGTTGAGAAATGGAAAGGTACGCTCTCCCGTACCCGTCTGTTCTTCAGTACAATTATTAATAATTCGCTTTTATTCTAGAACTCGTTTACCACGAAGTCGTAAACTTTGTACCTCAACAGCTACCTGCAACGTCCTCGACGATCGAGGCTACTTCATAAGATCGGCACAGCACAACTAATGTTAGGTATGCAAGCGAATGCGTAAGATAATAATTAACAGTGAAACGATTAAACGCGCCGGTGTGTATAATTGTTATATACAAACAGATTCATTGTATATAATAGCGTAACAAAGTTAATCATACAAACCTATTTTGTATTAGGGACAGAATATATACATACATATATATATATTTTTGTTAACGATACATGTTGCAAGAGAATGCTAACGTTTTTTTTCCATATTGAATATAAATAGAAGGAACGTGAAGCAATGGAATATATGGTTATTTTTATTCGTGGTTTTAGGCGAACGTTTTTGTTATACGTGTTATTCGGGAGTTTAGAACGCTTTGAAGCTGCGCTTCTAAGTTCAATAAAAAACTGAAGCCGATTCAGGACCAACAGATTTTTAACACGTTTCTCCTTCTGTAATTTGAACGTTACGTTGATTAACGACAGATTAACGAGGCTTCAAAGCGTTACATTTTGTTTTTATTCACCGCCGGTTCTAGTCCGTAACAGAAAATTATATACTACATCGAATTTACAGTTAAAGGAATTCGTTCGAAAATTCGTACGAACATAATTTAATATGTAAGATACTACTATTATAATGAATGCTTTTAACAAGGAAACATGGCTGAATAAATCTTTTCGATCTTTGTATGCTGACCTTACATTTTTACTATACTATGTATATTACACTCTTTATGCATTTCATTTATTTCTTTGTATATATATTTCTTTAAATTCTAGTAACACTCGAAACCTCACTTACGTATGATGTATAATCCAACAAGCGTAATTCGTTCGTTATATCGGAGCGAAAATTCTTGCAACGTACTTTAGCGTTTTCAGATCGGAGATATGTTTAGCTTGTTTAAGCTTTTACAATGTATAAATAGTAGACGGACCCATATATGTGCAACAAACGAATGGTTTAAATAACCTGATATGTTTGGACGAATCTCTCATTTACCATGCCAATCGCATGGACCGAAGTTCTAACACTGAGATTAGTAACATTGTACAGTAAGCATGAGTGTCTGAGGGACCCGTTTCATCCGGACTTCAACAATAAGCTATGCCGTTACAAAGCGTACAAGGAGATCGTCGATTCTATGAATGTCTGCGGACTGACGGTATGCGACTGCATAAAAAGGATCACCTACGTGAAATCCCAATATTGTTACGAGTTATCGAAAATCAGCGCGTCGATCGCGTGCGAGAAGTTTTACAAGCCGGCGACCGCCTGGTTCCCGATGATGCACCGGCTATTCTTCCCGTTCATGGCAACGTACACGTACGCAGACGGTTTTTGTAAGGTACATTTGAAACGAACGATTAAGACCAAGTCGCGCTGATTTCTTTTATTGTAATCAATCTGTCTCGTGTCATCTAGCAACGCGACGAAAAAACGAACAGAACCGAGGACCAGTTGACGCACTCGAACTTGAAGGAACACGAACCATCCGGCAGAAATTGCGATTGCCCTTACGCAATCTGTTATTGTAACAAATCGTATAGAACCAGACCTTATGCGCGTCTCAAGTAATTTATTTCGCTTGTCTAATACGAACGTGTTGCTCGAAGATTTACGAACCGAATTGTTCAATTAGAAAACCGGAGAAACCGTTTTCTATTCAAGCAGAATATGAGAACGCGCCTGCCTCGCGAGCGAAGGACAGCTTATATTCGCGACCGAAGAGGGTATCTCGAATCGACGCTGGGAACAATACCAGGAGATCGATTAACGCGGAATGCTCGACTCAGACCGATATGTCTTGTTTCAAGACCATCTGCACCGCTTGCCAAGTCTGCGTGCAGGACGAAATATCTTTGAATTGCGCGAACCTCGCGAACATCTTGATGAAAAATGACTTGGTAAATGTATTGTAAAAAGGGAGTGCTACTTGCTAGAATTAGCAACAATTTAGAAGCTTGGTCATTTTCAGACGGCCGTTAGTTTCACGGATCTCGTTCCAGGGGAGGAGGACGTTAATGAGAAAAGGAAGACCGACGAATTCGACATGTTCGGCAAGAGTATAGCGTTTCAATTGCGGAACATAAGTTTCGGTAGTAGCGGACAGCTTCCCGTGCCATTGAACTGATTATCGAGCCAGGGTCCATTTGATTTTTAGAGATCGCTATTAAGTTAGAGAAACGCATACAAGATCTGATCGCGAAGGAACGGCTGGTCAACATGAAATCCAAGTGTTCCGACTGTTGCTCGTCGTCCAGCTGCAGCGAGTGCAAACTGATACACCAGGGGATGATGTGCAGCTGCGGGCTTCCGGTGATCATGATCAAGACCGATCCGTCTTGCGATTTCGATTGCAAACAACGGACATGATTTTGATATCTGTATTCGTTCAGTAAACAAAATTTTACCAAAGACATCTTCTATCTTTTTGCAATTGTTTTCGGCACATTATTTCTCACAGAGTCGCGGGATAAAATTACGTTAAGAAGATACCGTAAAGCGATGATCTGACGAACGGTTCGATCTATCGCGCGATCAATTTCAGTCGTGTCACCCAACTGGAACCAAACCTCGTCGCGTGGGCAGATATAAAAATTATAAATGTAAAAAAATATAAACACTGTTTCCCCACATGTGACTCATTTAGAATCGTGTTGTTTCGTAAAATGTCCAAGTGGAACGAAAGTTTGGTGGTCTGCTTTTTAAACGAGTACAGGCAATATCCGTGCCTCTGGAACCCGTATCACAAGGATTACTATAATTGCCGGGAGAAAAATGAGGCGTTGCGAAGGATCATCGAACACCTCGGTGTACCCGGATACACCGTCAACGACTACTTGAAGCAGATCAAGATGATTAGAGAAAAGTAATGTACGATCGGAACTTTGGTAATGGATATTGCGAATGAAGCGCAGGAGGAAACAAAAACAAAACCGTAACTTATCGTTCTTAAAACGCTGAACTTCATGTTTTAACAATCGCGATTTATGATAATGAACAACGTGCTGTGTTTTCTACTTGTTACTCTAAACATCGTAGTCATATTGCACAGAAATTATTTACATTTAAATAAGCGAGCATTTTAATTTGGACAGATACAAACAAGAGCAAACGCGAATGATCAAATGTCTGCGGTCTCAAAAGCAATATAAATCGCCATTGTCCTGGTACGATACAGTGGCGGATATGCTGACGAAGGTGATAAAGGACGAGGAGGAGGCCCAGCAACGAGACGCGAGATATGGTCTCAGATCTCTGAGCAGTGACAATTTGAAGGACTCGTTAAAACGACCGGAAAGAACGGAAACGGACGCAAGACCTCTGAGAGTCCACCCTTGCAGCAACGCGACATGTGACTCGGCAAGGAGGTGCAAATCGGTGGAGAAACCATCATGTCTAGTCAGGAAACGTAACTCGACGGAAAAGATTTTCAAAGATAAGGCTGATAAAAAAGTTACATACGTTCCCTGCCCGCAGTACATTTCGCAAGATCGAGAAGATCCGATTTCGAGTCGGGAACCTACCAGAGACACGGGCCCTGGGTCGTTGGGTAAGGGATTGAAACATTTGAAAGTAAAGTCAAAGATCAAATATTTTACTCAAATAATTAGGAGTTCCAAGCACCTCCATGAATTCCGAATCTCCGTTCTTGCAATGCCCATCGTGCGGTTGGGAGGACGCGAAGCACGAAAAGAGTTACATTCCCTGTTCTGATTATAATAAAAATCTTTCTGGCGCATTTTATAATGCCTGCACCGGATGCGATCAAGTCACCCGCGATGGTACGTGCATGAATCATAGGAATTGATCTAAAACACTTATATATGTTTATTCGTTTTACTCAGATTTATCGGAGCGAGCCAGGAAGCGCATGGATCACTCGGGAGATTTCGACATTCTGAAGAATGTGTCGAAGCCGACTATTGAAACAGAAACGGCGAAGAAGCAAGTGGACGCTGGAGTGCAGTACAGCGAGGAGCCGAAAGACGATGACTCGAAAATACGAACGCAAGTCATACAAGTCGATCCTGCAGTAGCAAGCAACTTGCGATGTGGTACCATAGAAGCCTGTACCCGATTCAAAATCATTATATCGGATCCGTGCAAGGAAATGAAATCCAGTACGTTCGCAACGGAAAGCGTTTATCAAAAGACTGAATCGGTACAATGCGTCAATCGGATAGAAACGAGCACGAAAGAAACCGAATGTCCTCCTGAGAAAGTCATTTGCGAATGCGACGCGTGCGAGACAGGTATGAACACGGCGAGTCCCGAGGTACGAAACACGATTTGCGTATCTGACGAGGCAGCGAGATGTGTCATGGTGCAAGCCGTGGAAGAGGTCGAGCATGAGGAGAAAGAAACTGAGAAGTATTGCGAAACGGCATCGAAAGAAGTAGCAGTGAACATAGCGGATAAAGTTTCGAAAGCGGTGCAGAGTACCATCTGCGTTTCGCGTGGAAGTTCGGCCTGCTATGTACCATCACCTGCAAGAGAGTCCGCAGAGATTGGAACCGCGATGTCTGTTCACAGAATTCGTAGCATCGGCTGCATGACGGAGAAACCGAAAGAATTCAGATCGCATTTCGTCCAATGCAAGGACAGATATTTGTCTTTGACCCGTTCGAAGTCCTTCAGCTCCGTGAAACGCTGCGTTCGAGATACGAAGCATTCCGCGGATAAAGAAAGTAAGCGGTCGCATCGTTAATTTTGCGAACCAGATCGATTTAACGTTTCAAGCCTCTGATGCAAAAATCGGTCATTTAATCTAAATGGAATATGACTGAATTTTGCATCGATCATTGTTCGTTGCTTAGCGCAAGGATTCGCGGACGCGTGTACGACAGATACGTGCTCATTAAACATACTAAATCTCACCAGAGAAGATCCCGCTGTGGCGGTAGCCGTGGAACAGCTCTTGAAGAAACTGATACTGTTCAAACGCGAACATGCAACGCAGAGGCTGACCGACCGTAAGTTCTGACGAAACTCAATCATTTTCCACCGTGCAATAAGCATTCGTTGCAGACGAATACGATCGCGTGAAACGAGATTGCATGATCGACGCAACGGGTATGGTAAACACTATCAAGGAATACGCAAGGATGCTAGAACCGAGCGCGACCAAAGATGATTGGACGCAGATCCAGTGGCTGGAAGAAATCGAGAGGAAACGGAGTTCCACGGATGTTGACACTTCCACGGTTGACAGCAAACTGACAATGACCGATGAGACTATGACCGAACCTGTATTTCAATCTACGGTCGCTGCACAGGATGAGGAACGGAGATTCCAGATGATCGACAAGGAAGTCATTACTCGCGGGACTTACAAAGACGTTGGGTCATTGACGCGGTCGCCTCTGCGCGATGCAGAAATTCAGAGTAGCGCTTCTCGATTGAAAGATACCGCGGTCGAAGATTCGAGGGAAAAAGTGAACGTGGGCACTCAGAAACGTGATCCGATACTAGTTCGAGTGATAAAGTGCAGCGATACACAAGCGGTCACAAGGACCGATAAGACGACGACTATGGGAACGGACGTGGATCCGGGGAAGAGGTACGTAAAAGCATGCGGTAGATCGACTTGCGTCCCGCTGAAGGTTTGCAGGAGATCAAAGGATATGAAATCTCCTTATTGCGGCATGGAACGTGAAATAGCTGATGCTCGTCACAAACGGACGGTCGCTTTTAACGAAGACATATGCGACAGAAATTGCAAAACGAAATTGTCATATGACTGGACGGATGTGTCGAACGTCGACGTACTATCTGACGTTAATTCGAAAATTCCTACGTGCAGGAGGACATGTAAGTATAATTACAGCTACGCGAGGAGCAATTAAATGAATAAGTGAAGTGGAAAAGACGGTAAATGAAACTGGAGAGCGTAGAAGAACAAACTTCATTTTATTACATGAAAATGTATAACGTTCCGTCGATTGGAATATTATATGAAAATTACGTTAATTAATCTTTGTGATAAATTTACGGTGACATCGTTGAGTCAAAGGCAAACACTCGATACATGTGTATGTGTTCGTGGTAATTATCACGACTGTCGATATCTAATTGTAATAAAATATGTAGTAAAAATGAGATTTGATATCTCTTATTGATTATACTCTTGCATTTTCATTATACGTCGCTTTAGTCTTCCTTTCGTTTTATTATCAGATCTCATCTTATTGTTCGAGACAGTAAAATTATCTTAAGAATTAAAAATTCGTTATCCTGAGTAGATCTCGTAGTAAACGTGGACACGCGATAAATTGATAATTAGCGTTATCAGTTTTTCTAATTCTTAACATGCACAGTTAAAAAATTGCACAATACCCTAGGAAATATCGCGCGCGTATCCCTCGACAACTTCTTTCTTTCAAATTCAATCGTTAAAATATGATAAGAAATCACGTGTATGCCTATACATGTGCATACAAATTATATTAAAGGATCAACGAGAGAAACGTTTTTGATGCTCACACAATCATTTCCTTCTTCGTTTTTTAACAGTATTTATCACGTTGATCCGATAAAATGACCTGATCGATCACGAGAACAACATGATCAGGTCGGCAAGCTATTTTTCAACAGATGTAATACTGTTGGTGTGTACTCCGTAATATGACGAATCTCGACAAGTATCGCTTGTCATTAAAATATGTATAATAGTAAATTATTGTACTTCCGATATTTTATAATTTGTCGGTGGTCAATTGAACATGCGTCTGACTAGTTCACGTAATTCACATCGTCAATCAATCCTTAGCAAATCGCTGCTAACGCGACGACTGTTCAGCATCCTATTGAAAAGCGCTATAAAAAGGAATAGAGGGGATAATAAGTAGAGTTCGCACGCCAACGCGTATTACGTAAAATAAAATTACGTAATTGCGTTTATCCACCGAAATGAGAATTTTACGAACATTTAGTCCTTCTTCTTGGCATCCGCTTTCTCGTCTTTGGCTTGGCCTCGGCCCAGGAATTTAGCTAACGAGTCCCAAATACCTCCGAGGAACAACGCGCAGAACAGATTCTCGAACGGCACGAACGGATCATGGATCCCGAGCAAAATAGACGACAACTGAAATAATGACGATACTGTTAAACTGTTCAACGATCACAAGCTCGACACAATGAAGTCAATACCTTGAAGTAGACGAAGAATATAACGATACCGAAGTAAACCAATGCATGAGGTGCCGATATGAGATCAGTCTTTTTATCAAGGACGAAGATAATGGACGCTACCATCGACGCTTTCGTGGGGCTAAAAGTAGGGATTAAATTTTATATGTCATTTACGGGAACATCGCGTGCATCCTAAGAATGGAAAGTATAATACACCTACAAGCTAGGTTGCATGAATTCCATCGCAGTCGGGGTCCACACTCCTCGTATGAGGCGTTCCATCAATTTTGTAAAACCTGCACCGTTTCCTGTGCAAAGGTTCACGCAACGCTTTATCGTAATGCTTCTTCTTTTACATTTATTTCTATTGCTTCTTAAGATCAAGACCTACCTTTCAGAGTTCCGATTAAAATCATAATTAAATACGCATTGGGATAAAGTTTCCCCGCATGGGTCACTCCGTCGTACACCTTTTTACATCTACAAATGATGGAGAAACGTAATGAACGTGAACGAAGACGATATAGCAATGAACGAGTCAAGAAATGAGTAATACTTAATTACCTATATATTTCTTTCATAGTAGCGCACACTATTTTTACTGGTAGAAACTTTGCTACTTTGTACCCAATATCAAACGGCGTATAAAATATCACGTACCTGTGCAATTAATAAATCAAACGTTTCATTCTTATTGGAATGAGTTTCGTTGGAGACTGGGAGCTACGTTAATTTCAATTGAACTATGTTAATTTTAACTGAATTATGTTAATGTACGACACTCATACAAGATTAATCAACTAATTTTGTTGGTTGCATTTAAATCAAAGCTTGTGTACTGACCATACAATGGTTGCAACCACTACTTGTGGTGTATTTTTCAAAGGAGCAAGAATCGGTTCCCCTAAGAGACCATTGCATAGCATACCGCTCGAGAAGACTACCAACATTGTTGATAGCCAACATGATAAGGGGTGCTTCCGAGAGAATGCCTGAGCACCTGTTCAATAGAGTTCACAGATATATGATGACGAGAATCAAGCACAGCAATAAGACGGAATTACTACCGATTATTATTATTTATTCATTAAATTTATTCACACGAGAGAGGAGTACGAGAAGTATCAACGCTTTATAAACCATTCAATACACCATGAGATATCAAAGGGGTATAGGTTTTCAAGTAGGTCACTTGGAATCCTTACAAGCATCTTGCCTGCATATGTGTTAACGTGATACCAGCTTACCATAAACATGACAATAATTTTCCTCTGGTATTCTCTCAATTTTTTTACCGAAAGTAGACTGAATTACGTGTATGAAGTTTCAGAAAAACAGAGTGGAAATAGTTTGAAAATAAAACTTGCGGCACACAGCTGTCTTTTGTTCGATTTCACATATTTTATGACGCAAGAAATAAGTTGTCCGTGTCATCGTCCAGAAATTATTCCTTCATGGTCCATTGCAAGAGAAAGTTATGGGATAAAGAGCTTAAGCAACGTTCTTCTACAATATGGTTTTATATATTTACAATACTGTAAATATTTATATACAACGTATAGAAATATATGTACCCAGTAAAGGGAAATGTTTCAGAGACAAGGATTGAATTTATGAGAATCTGAGAAAAATCTGGCATACCCACTAGAGTATGTATACTGAAATAGATCAGCTGGGTAGATTCGGTGAATGTCACGAAACGGAATTATGATAATTGTGCCAGATATGTGATACGAGTACAGTTTTATGCCCCTAAATTTTAAATTATGCCTCCTATCTCTTTTCCGTCAAGTAAGAACGTTCTGTTATCGTCATTTTACAGCATTAACGATATGAAACGTATGCATAATTAGACGTTTGGTTTAAAGTGTCGATGGTTCTGGGAAATCGAAAAAGTGTTCGAGACAACGAATAATGTTCGATTATGTTATAAATAAAAAAAATGGCAGGAATATTGGACATTCTAAAAATTATCGAATGAGAGGGCTCAGGGATAAAAGAACGACAAAAGAAACACGTAAGACGAGGTTTAAAAAAGAATTGAAGGAGCTATCAGGAGTGAAATACAATCTTAGAAAGGCTATAGCTCGCTCTAGCCGGATTAAATTTAGAATCGGTCGGCTAGGCTTGGGCTTACCAGGTCCTAAATCTTCTCTGACGTGCAATGCACAAAGCACGCTGTGTGCAATATCGAAGTACGGGAACATTTTCAATTTAATGACCTGATTGGCCATGTCCAGGAATGCTTCGGGATCCATTTCGTTATATTCTCACTGGGTCCGCGATATATACACTTCTCGCTTACTGTTTATTCGTTCACGATACGATCTGTCGTTCCCAACAATCGTTGGTTTTTGAAAGAAAGTCAGAAGCGCCCGCGGACGACTAGCTCTGCGCCGTCTGCTAGACCTGGTCGTCTGCTAGTTATGGAATCGGTCCCCTAACATTAGAATCTTATCGTCGAACGAATAAATAAATTTTCTCCTTCATTACGACTCTTCCCTACAGATGGCAGTAAATGATCTATGTATTTGTCTATGTCCTATATGTATTTCAAATTCCTTATCGTATCCGTGTCGTGACTGTCGTGACCCCTCCAAACCCCCTTACAAGAATCCATGACCTATATACAGAGTCGGACGACTGTCCGGCGCTCTAATTAACGCTCATTTCTTCTTAATGTATTAATAGTAATTAATAAACCTTATTACTGTTATGCATAATGTTAACATAGTACCATAGTACTCCCATACACTTATCAATGTATGAATTATGTAATTGAAATTATCTCTCGATCGAATAAAAAATATATTCATATTTTCAAAAAGCAGAAACGAGACGATAAGATATGATAATTTGGCCGCGTTCGAAAGCGATGTACGCGCGATTATGCATGCATTTAGCACTACTCTTGCATGAATCAGGGGTGTCGAAAGTAAAAGCGAGACACGCTATGAAATTACAATACGATTTTCATTCAGAAATTCAATGTATCCGGCACTTTTAACTACTTTTTTTATTGCTGTTTTAATCACAGCCCTGTTACATATAGCTAACAATCGCAATCTTATCGCGATGGATACCCTGTCTTCGCTAACTTTTCTGCTATATTCATGTATATAGACGGGACGGAATGACCGTGTTAGCGAGTATCGGCTAAATGTGGTTCGTATACGCACGAATCTTTATTTAAGAAAAATGTGATATGCCTATCTAATCGCGGTGGCACATGAATACATGTAGCTGTAACATACCTATAAATGTCCTCTAACGGTGATTGATTTCACGGATAACAATGATCCGCGACGTATCAGCGTCGGGTATTATGGAAGGGAAAATCTGAAATAACGGGCAAGTAGTCTCGGTGTCGATTAACAAACATAGACACACGACGAAAGGTGAACATTGTCACTCCGTTCGAGTGTCGCATTTATTAACTTAATTTTGCATACGATATCGTTGCCGCGGCGGTGACGTTCTTTGTAATTGTCGCGGTCAACGCGATTAACATCTCTTACCGAAGGTACGACCAGCGTTAGATTATAAAACGCTGGCCATTTTATTGTCTCCTGTTTGTTTGCACGTAGAAGCGCTCGAGAATTTTCATTGACCGAGATCTCGCCACACAATATACGTGGCCAATGAAGCAGTATACGCTGTTAGCTCGTCGTCTCTGATTTAACTTTGATTCGAAGCACTGATTCTTTTACAAAGTGCCTTTTGTAAACACAGACAATGGTAAGGTTCTTTTTATTATCAACAGATTAAGAATTTGTTCATAGATCAATAACAATGGAAATTTCCAGAGAGAGGGAGTGAGATTGCGTCAACATGTCTCTAAAAGATCTTCTGGTGATGTACTTTATGAGGACAAAGTTTCGTCGAAGAAGAGAGAAGTATTGCCAAACGAGACCCAGCATTTGCTTTTTCTTTTCAAATTCTACCTTGTCCTGTCCGTTATCATAATCATGTTCGAGAAGAAACTACCGGAGCCGTTGACGATCAATAAACAGGGACTGTATCCCGGGAGGTTCATAGCAGAAAGGGCACACAATCACCTTCTGAATATAACTTCTATCGGGCCACGAATAGTTGGGAGCTACGAGAACGAAGTGCTGGCGATTAAATATTTAACTAACATCATTAACGATATAGTTAAAGATGGCAATGAGAATCATAAAATTCTAGTCAATGTAACCAAGCATAGCGGGGCTTTCCCTCTAAAATTTTTAGATGGAATGACGAACGTATATAGAAGTGTTCAAAATGTCATTGTTAAAATTGGTCCTCACAGACCGGTACAGAGCAGCTTGTTAATAAATTGTCATTTTGATACATTCCCAGAGAGTCCTGGTAAATAGCCGACAGGAAGATAGCTTAAAAATCTGATTTTAAGCAATTCACTGTTTCAGGTGGATCTGACGATGGGGCTGGTTGTGCTGTGATGTTAGAAGTTTTACGCGTGATCGCTCATAGTCCAAAGTTGTTAAAGCATAACATTATATTTTTATTTAACGGTGCTGAAGAAAATTTATTACAGGTATGCTCTGTAATTACACGCAACGTCGAGAGAGAATTTCTTGTGTTTAGTAACTGGAAAAATGATGCAGGCTTCTCATGGATTTATAACGCAACACCCTTGGGCCAAGGAAGTACGTGCTTTTATAAATCTAGAGGCTTGTGGCGCAGGCGGTCGTGAATTATTGTTCCAGGCTGGACCTGATAGCTCTTGGATGCTTCAGGTATCGTCGAATCATGATTAAAACGATTTCCGAAAAGAAACGCAATCCAGATTCATTTCTTTATAGATATACGCTACGTCTGTCCCTTATCCTTACGCGTCGTCTCTGGCTCAAGAGATATTTGAAAGTGGTATTGTCCCTGGCGACACCGATTTCCGAATATTTCGAGACTTCGGAAATGTTTCTGGTAAGTATCTACTTCGTTATACATGTATGTCGTAAGTACTTCAAAGCGAATTAATCGTGTGATCAAAAGTAGGTCTCGACTTTGCTTGGGCAACGAACGGTTACGTGTACCACACGAAATTTGATAACATCCAACAAATACCATTGGGTTCTTTACAAAGAACCGGAGATAACATTCTCGCCTTGACGCAAGGAGTAGTGTTAGATAATCACTTATCTGAGATGTTTAGCGAAGATCACACAGGGAAACCTGTGTTCTTCGATTTCCTAGGCATGTACGTTATCAGATGGCCGCAATACATGGCGAGCACAATTAATATTCTTAGCATAATCGCCGGTGTATATTCGATCTATCTGAACACACAGAATGCTCGACGCGGTATGTACGTCCTAAACGAATTAGCATCACGAATACCGAATCGTACTGTTCAAACTTTATATTCTCGCTTTAGACGTGAAGAAACAAGTATACTTAAAACATTTGCTATTATGCACCGGAGCAATAGTCGTTTCGTGGCTGCTGTCTATACTTTCTTGTACGCTGATCGCATTGATTCTAACTAAACTTGGGAAGGTGATGAGTTGGTACGCGAGACCGGCATGGTTGTTTTTCTTATACGTGGTCCCAACTATTTTCGTCTCGATGACATTTTTCTTATACGTCGGATCGCGTCAAAGGAAGGCAAGTTTTAACTCGGAACGACTATGCACCACTCTTACGAATTTTCTAATTTCATTTGAACCGATACTTTATAGGAAGTTCAGTCTGCATGGATCTTGTATCAGATATACTGTGATTCATATTCCATGATATGGATGTCTGTCCTTTGTTGCTCGGTCGTATTTGAGTTACGATCCGGCTTCATACCGTTACACTGGGTCGTGTTCCCTACTCTCGGGAACATACTCCGATATAATTTTTTTAATAAATGCAGAGGTACTTTATATACTGAATACTACATCGAGCAGCGCCTAGGAAAATTAGTTCTATCATCGTATATTTCTTACAGATTGGAAGTGGCTGTTGTACTATGTAATGTCGATGCTTTTACCGTACATACAATCGTTCTATTTGGTGATCGGAGCTCTTTATCTTTTTATTCCCATAATGGGACGATCCGGCAGCAGTATAAACTCGGAAGTTGTCATGGCTAATATGATATGCATACTATTCTCCCTGCTCCTTAGTTTCACGGTAAAAATGTTATTTATAGATGAATGAACGTAACATCGAACGTAGCTCAATGATCCGCATTTCGTTTTCAGTTACCGTTTGTACTTTTAATAAAAAACGCGGAGAGATTCCTGAGCGTGTTGGTAGGGATATTTCTAATAACGTTAAGCGTACTAATTTTGACTCCGCTCGGGTTTCCCTACAGTGGCGATCCATCCTCGTTGGCGCCGGAACGATTTATGATCGCGGTAACGATCGAATTTTTACATTTACGCAGATTCCTCGCATTGTATTAAACGTGAAACACGCATTGTACTTGTAGCATACGCAGAGACAATACTATGATATTAACGGTAATTTACGGTATTCTGGAACTGGGTATTGGATAGCTGACTTGGACATGAACAGCCCACACAGCGTGGAAGCTGTGGTACCTGAAATAGGTGCCGCAACGCCAACGGTGAAGGACTGTAAAAAAGAGTTATATTGTGGCCTACCATACTTCATGCCTGTTACGACATTTTTATGGTACGTATTTTAGATCGAAGTTAATTAAATTATTACATGCAATTAGCACGCGTGTATCTAATATAAAACTATATTTGGAACAGGAAAACAAGTTGGATTCCCGGCCCCGCGCCACTTATTAGCACCCCAACGAAACTGGAATTAATATCAAAATCCACGCGACAAAACATTGTCAGTTTCACGTTTAACGTTACAGGTAATACCCTCGTAATTGGACTAGTTATCGAAGGACGATTAAAAAATGTTATTTTACAGGCCCTGATCACATTAGTATAATTTTATCTCCATATAAAGGTATTCATTTAGAGAAATGGTCTATTTTAGAAGGGAAACCATTAGAGGGACCTAAGTGGAACGATAGAGAAACGTATTTTATTTATTATTCCTGCGCGTCCGATTGTGTTCCTTTCACGTTTTCTCTCGAATTGAATGTAAGTTGCAAACAAGTCACTATTCTCGAACGTCTATGTTCTAACAACGTCTGTATTAATAAATCTGTTCTGTATCTATTCTCTATTTAGGCGCATAACATGCCAAAGACTCCGTGTTTAACGGTAGCGCTTGGCGGTCACTTTTTACACGGAGAGCACCAAACGTCTTTGAGATTCAAACGATTCTTGGCACAATTTCCGTCATGGTCAGTCGTCACCCCGTGGACAGCTACGTACACCTCTTGGCAATTTTAATACGTCGCGCGTACATGAAAACCGAAGGGAAATAATGCATTTACGGTGAGAGAGCCTAACGGAGATGGCACTGTTCTAAGTCGCATAACGTTAAAAGACATATAATACCTAACAATGCAAATTCTAAGCTTAAGAGTTAGAGTAATCCCGAATTATACACGCTAATACTTTACAAGGTCGCAACTTAGTAAGAGAAACCAACCGAAATTAGAAGAAGAAAAGAATAAGTATTGAAGAATGAAGCTCGTCTTTCATTCTATTTATATATACATTTTTTACTAGCATATTATTGGATTAAATCGAGAGAAATTTTCACGGTAGTCTTAAGATACCAAGGGTAACCGCGATTATCCCGTAAATTTTCGATTCCATTAACTGCAGTCGTCATTAAGATACCATGGTTTAGCATATCAAACGTATTGCCTTCGAATTACAGTTCTATTTCATTTTTAACGGCTAGAGAAATTACGATTACCGCAGACCAACTAGTCCATACGAACGGCAGATAGTGGACCGGTGAGATTTTTCATATCACTAGGCCATCGCTGTACGAAGATTATATCTTTTTATTGTAATATTCGAGGTTGAACGTGAACGTTGTTCAACGATCGCTTCGTTTGTTCGAAGCGAAAGAAATTACGTGACCGCACGTACACTTCACGATTCTACGTGAACAGTTTAAGAGCACAAATGCAATAGTTTGCTTTATTATGCGTGATACTAATTAGATTTCTTCAGGTTTCATTTAAAGCTAAAGTTAGTCTAGTGTGGATTTTAACGTTTCCAACATTGAACTTTATACTTGACTGCATGCAGCCTCCTATTATTTGTTTTTTTGTTTCTTTATTGTGTTTTCACATTGTCACTGTTTATGGAGAGTTATATCTGTTTAATTAGGGTTTGGAACGTGGTTGTTTTAATTTAATGGACCTGTTCACATTCTCGTGTTCCTCGTGCAGTCGAAGGATCTTTCTTTGATCGTTTTGTTTTGTTCCTATGTACATTTGTTATTTCAAGGAGACTGATTTATTTTAAACAGTTGTTAATTTATAATCATTTTCCCTTTTATACTATCGTCTCGAATATATGCAATGTAGTCGCTATAATTTAAGTATATCGTTCAATTCCCATAAGATACGGAGAAACAGTAAATTAGAGTGGATCAGATTAAAATGCAATTTATTCCAGGAGTATTTATCGAATTAAACGTTCGAGTTTAACGGTAAGGGAGTTATGCCAATACTGGTAGCCAATCGCGTAGACAAACGTAAGTTCAAAGTATTAATAGTAAGGTAACACGAGAAATTTCAATACGGTGATTAGTGTACTTTTACACTAATATAAAAGAGAAACCTATTTAGATGCATGTTGCGTTCGGCTTGTTACACGAAACGCTAGGAGATTTCAATCTTTTATAATCGACGTTTAATAAACTCGATTTTGACATTCGTCATTAATTAAAAACATTTCTATCTATAACAATTGGAATGTCTCCAGTTTCATTCCCATATATTTCTCGTTTTCGCGATCTCTCACATGGGTGAACGTTTCAGTGAGTACATGTATAATAGCAATTTGTGTTGTTTCGTACACGTTACCGATTGTATCATATATATACTGCATAAATTATAATTACGATTTTACTTAATAGTATTGCACAATGTTGAGAACAAGAATTTGTCGACGATGTTTTACTTATACGCACAGGCATCTATGTATTCGAGTTATTTTAAGTATTACTTACAATCCGAGGTGACTGGTTTTATTTCAACAGAATCTAAACAACTATAAGAAACAGTGGTAAAAAAACATATCATTCCGACGTCTCTATTATTTCTGAATCTTTTTTCGCTTTCAAGTCTAATGTTTCAATATTCATATAGTTCTTTTTAATGTGCACTTTATAATCATGTATGCATATGTGTACGTTACTGTTGTTATTTGATGATCCTTGGTTAAAGAGCAAAATTAATGCAAATGGTTAATAAAAGCGTTGAGAATTGAACATTCCTATCTGTTATTCTCCTGATTACTTACGAATACTCCATTTATTAATCGCATTTGTAAATATGCGATATAATAAAACGAACGTGTTTCGTGGACGACTATTCTATACAGAATCGTACCGATTTACTTTAATAACGTAAAATCTGTCGTCGTAACTGTAAGATCATAGTATTACAGAGTTAATTGACATTACCGATGTCCATTGATCGATCGAAGTAATTTCCTGTTTCCGAGATTACCCATTACGTATGCGTAACATTACGTGAATGGAAATAGACTCTGACATACATTCGAAGAGACGATTTAAAACTTTTAGATTTTGCAAATCGGCGATTTACGTTTGATGATATTTCAAGAGGACGATGTAAAAGAAGAACTAGTACGAGCAGAAAGAAAAATTATCTTGCACAAGGAAATTCGTAGTAAATATCTAACAATAAGTTCGAAGTATACATGCATATTCAAATGCTGATTTGTATTCAGGAGGTAGCGAAGTAGCAGTAACGGTTTAAATCCTGATACGTTTCTACAATTTTTAACTACCAAAACATAATTGCTTCTGCTTGTAATAGCAAAAGAGGAGCTCCCGATTCTTCTGTATCATTATTTTTCCTAAACCCCATCGATTGAACGCACGATCTCTGAACTTCAGATCCTTCGCAAACGATCGCCGGATTCCCGATTCTTTGCGTCCCCGTATCATCGTTTCCCTTCTTTCTCCGTCGGTTTCGTAAGAAACGTGTCAATATTGACGTACCGGCATCCTGTAAGACGAGACCAATTTCCTGGTCGAGGCGACACTGATCTGCAAACGGGCCGTGGTGTTCGACTCGCGAGCCACGAGCCATGAAACGGTTCCCGATAAATCGTAACCAGGTCCCCAGGTTGATTCATCGAACGTATACCGCGCAGTGTGTAACGTACGTACATTACGCGTTTACCAGTTGTACTATGTACACATTTACGCGCGGCGTAAGAAGAGAAAAAAGAATGAGCGAAAGAAGGAAAAAGTTATCAGTCACGGTTACGCGATAAGCAGAAGAGAACGATATATCGTCCAGATAAAAAGTCTCCGCGAGCTCGAAGTTGAAACAATGCTCTTTTTCCTCGTCCGTCGTGTCACGTTCGCGAATCGTTTGATATCAATTAAAATATCGATCCGGCTCGTTCCCGATCAACTTCATCGAACGTGCGATAAATAGAATGCGTTTTTTTTTAACATTACCCCTCAACCGACGATGATTGAGGTGTTCGAGTGCTTGGAACATAAAGCGATCGGTGCAGGAGAGACCTTTTACGAACGAACATGGAAATATCGTCGAGTCGTCGAGATCAGTGAAGAAGGTAAGGCTTCGGTCGATTATCTCTTATCTCGATTATACTTTTTTCCGTACATTCTTAGGACCAGATCGTCGTAATTGAGCGCGGAAATTATGTAACGCATGGAGGTTTTTAGTAAATCGTATCTGCGACATTTAGTATGCTAGCGATCGATCGCACCTTTAACATAGTTTTAATCTGTTTAAAGACGACGGTGGTAATTGTACCGAGGGCTTGTAAATTGGAGTACCGTTAATTATGAGTCACCTGTAAAATGGTCAGTGGATGGAACCACCAGGTGAAACTCGTTAACGTTCTCTTCTCAACTAGGGGTAATTGTCATCGTTAATGATCGGTATGCCATGTATAAATTGCGCTAAACACGATTCGCGTGTTTACGTCTTAAAAAGGACGAAGGTTCGATCATCGCTCAAATATAAATCAAGCGATCATTCTGGACGATCGATTGAAAAACGACGGGGAAAGTGAATTCTAACAGGAACGAGCGAAGGTGGTACGAATTGAAATCCTGTTCTAAAGATATCTTTTGTGTTCTTCACGTTGTAATTACTGCGTCGCCGCATTAAATATCGTCGTAGAGTCGCGATTTTCCAAGCTGAACCGCGCGTTCAACCATGCTTGTTTGTTCTTCAATTAGCAAACAACTGGCTTTTTTAGATTCTGAGCTGCTCGACCGACTACCTCATTTGCACGGCCTACTTCTTTCGAGATCTCTGCTTCGTTGTCTTTCGTTCTTTTCTTCACTTCGGTCCCAAGGGTGGTCGACGTTTTCCCGATTTAATTACAGCCTCGCACTTCTTTCAATAGTTTCATTGTCCTTCAATTACTCCTTGTTCCGTAACATGGAACATATTTTAAGGTACTCTTCGTTTCGGCCCATTCCTACATCCTGCATATCAAACCGAAGGAGCATAAATCATTTCCTCTTCCCATTTATGGTACTTTGTATTTCCGTCAGTCCACTTTTCTATGGGGACAGAATTAGGCATCCGAACGTCGAGAACCGGATGGGAGGTACGCAGGCTCGTGCATACGCACTTACGCGTTTACCTCTCGTTCGTTCGTTCGTTCGTTCGTTCGTGTACGTATGGTCTTATATATGCATCCATGCGTACGTGGTTCGCTTACTGATTAATTATTCTTCCACGGCATTTTTCTCCCTCCTCTGCTCCACGCTTCGTCACGTGAATATCGTGACGAAGGAAGAGGAATAAGAGGAAAACGCGCGTCCTTTCGCCCGTCGACCCCTCGACATTTTCCTCGTCTCCGTCTATCGTAACTCGAGTTCATATTTAAATATGTCATATCGATTCTCTTGATTCCTGATGACTCGGTCATCGTTAATGGTGAGAAGAGGTTTACGCGGAGAACGCCGACGTCGTTCGTCAAGTATCAGCGTGCACGTTCACCTGCTCGTGTCGCCGCAGGTACAGAGCAGAGGAGCGAGTATGATGTCATCGGTTCGAACTTGGTATTTGGTACAGGGGAACGCGTGATTCGCATGAAAAGCTCGTGCGACGCGGCGGCGGCGGCGGCGGCTTCGCTTCGTGTCGAGCGATTTGGTCAGTCGGTTCTTCGCCATATCCGGTCACCGGCTGAAGAACGCACCGTGCGTCGCCGAGAACCGGAAGTCACGGAGAACCCGAGGGATTCTCCGCGCCGGGGACCTCCGACCATCCGGACGCTTTTTATGATTTATCGAGTACGCTTTCATCCTCTTCAAGGACGTCCACGTGTACTTTTCGTACGCACTTCCGGCCGGTCGCAATCTCGCCCGCTCTCGTTCGTAAGTACTCATTTGATTCTGCGAATAACGTTTCACACTGCTCCCGAGTAAACCTTCCACATGATCAACGTGATCGTTTTTAAATCTATGAGGAGGAGGAATCTCGATTGGCACGAGTAAAACGAGTGTAGTGTACGTTACAGAAGAGATGACGATCAACGCTTAAGACGACCGGAAGGTGGTAACTCGTTAAGCCCGGCGATGGGGACCGGGAAGAACGGAACAGCGGGAGGAGAGGAGGAAAACGCGAGTCGGACAATCGGTCCCCGACCAATGGAACAAGAAGCCCGGGAGTTTCATCCCCTCTCGAGTGGCTGTCGATGCCGTCTACGAGTTCGACTGTTCGACGACGTCTTCGAAAGCCAAGACGCCCACGCTGTCAGTTATTTGGCGAGCCTCCAACCTCCTGCAGGTGTCCCATTCGAAACACTGTATCCTCTGTTCTACGTACCCTTCGGGCCACGCGTGGAGAACGCGAACTTTGTTTTGGAATTTACTTTTGTTAGAACGAGATCGTTCTGGTGAGTCTGGATATTTTCATCTTCCTTTTCTAAATTCAGATGCGCATTGAAATCAAATTGAAATTATAATCGTCGTAGCTTCTGTTTCATGTCGCATTCGAGAAGTGTCCCTTTCAGGAATTACACAAACTCTTGCTCCCGGTTAAAAGAAAGCTTCCGGATCTCCTGAATTGGTTTTATGTCTCGCTGTCTCGCCAGTATTCTATTCCAATTAATTGTTTTCCATCGGAAGAACTTTTCGAATGGTTCACCTGGGCGCTTCGAAGGCAAGATGTCGGCATAGCTGATGTCTTTTAAAATTCGGCTGTGTCACATCCAGCCAGCCGAACGCTCAGACATCAACGAAAAAATGCAGCAATGAAACGACTGAGGATTCGACGATGGCATGTATCACAGAGGAAAAAATTAGGTAAGATTTCTATTTCCAAACAGGTAAATGGAATTAATAATTACGTATTTAATAGATTTCCATCGATTTTTATATGCGACCCACGTAGGTCGTTTTTGACTGCTTTGACTTTTACCGGATGCGACACCGTCACTGATGGAAAGCGTCGTAACGTGATGCGCACGTTAATTAAATGCATTAGAGGAACTATACTTTTAACTCGAGGAACTTAGGACGGCTGAATCTACGGCGAAGGATAATAAATAATGAACAGCAGATGAGGTAACTCATTTGTTTCCAACTATAACAATCATTCGATTATTGAATGTTAAAAATAATTTAGATCGATTGCAAATATTTGTGTCTGCTCTCCAGAATCTTCTAAGCAAAGGACATTTCCGGAGAAACTATTGAAATCGACCAGAATTGGGAAACAAGGTATATTTCTCTGGCGAAAAGCTATATGAGTGTTTTATTAAAAATGTTTGAAAACCTGACTCGAATTTATCCCAGTCAATAAATGATTTTTACCATTCTAGAAACTGTTCATCTAGAACGTGTGATTATATTCCTCGATCTGCATGAATGAAAATTATAGCTATAGTCGTCAGATCTACATCTATTCCTTCTAACTCCATTCGTTAAGAATTATTTGACGATGGACGAAATGAGTGTTCCACATAGAAAAAAACTGTATACGACCTTTTTCGAAGGTAATAGGAGTACCTACAACTTTTACTTGAAGCATTTTTCAAAATTACGTGAAAAAAAAATTTTCGATTTTTTCGAAATTTTTTAAAGGGGGTACCCCTTCAGATTTTGCGAAATTTTCGTTTTTTGCTAATAACTTCCAAACCGTTGGTCCTACGGGAAAATTGCATAGAACATTTCTTGTAGAGGACGACGAGATCTACAATTTCCATATAAAAGTTTGTTGCTAGCGTCAATAGTTTATGAGTAATTTGCAAAAAACTGTTTTTTCGTTTTTC